TCATTATGAAAATCGTAGTGTTAATGAAAGTGTTGAGTGATATCGAATCAGATAAAAGCATGTACCTTTACATTATTTTCGATTATTAAATACTAATATTATAAAGAGGTAATATTTGTAAGTTTATATGTAGGGGGTAATTGGGAACCGTTGTTCGATTTCCTAAATTCTTTCACTGATAGGTAGCTACAATGTTCCTTAGTGCTATAGGCTACAACATCACCCTACGATCAATAGAAGAATTGGGCCTTTGGTAATCTCAATCCGATCGAGTCGGCCCATTCGTGCCGAAGCATGACTCTCCTACTCTTAGCATGCTTGATTCAGAACGTTTTTAAGGTTTCTATTATTTATAACGCTAATCTGCCTTTTCCTATGCCTTGTATTTCACAAAAAAAAAGTGAGTTTAAAGAGGATTACGAGGGAAAACATTTGAGTATTTGAATATACTGAATACACTTTACCCAATTATAAGAAATCAAAATCTAGTTCTGAGAAATTTGAAATTGGAATAGCCAGTTCATATGTACCAGTATCAAATTGAAAACACAAAACTGAAAAATGGAAGAAAACGTGCGATAACACGGTCGTTTGGATGTTGCTACGTTGCCATCCTGTGCTACTATACAACGTAATGATACGGAGCGGCAACGTTGCACTGTCATAGTTTCGTCACTCGCCAATGGTGCTACATCAAGGCCGTCTTGTAAACGATTGTAATAGACATTTAAAAACGTAAATACTCGTAATTGGGATGCTTCCTATGGCCAAAAGTTTAATTTATTCCTGACAGCCGATTTTAATGAAAAAAGAAACGTTTATCTATGAAAAATGTGGATAAAATAAGGTGTTACAAATGATTTTGGTATGCTAAATACATTAAATAATAATAAAACTATTTTTTTAAAGCCGTTACACAGGCAGTTACTTAAATACTATGCGTATTTTATACTTAACACAAAGAACTAGGTACAATTAAAAAAATCTTTTTTACTATAGAAGGTGTTCTGTTAGCCATTATTTTTAATACTTTGTTTTATTTTAGATAGTGGTAACTCTCGAATAGATTCAGAAACTTTATTAAATACTAGCTACTCTCACGCGGTTTCACTCCGCTGCTCGGCTCCGTTTAATCTTAGCGTGATGTTATATAGCCTATAGCACTCAGGAACATTGTAGCTATCTATCAGTGATTTGGCAATCGCACCAGCGGTTCCAAAGATTACCCCCTACATACAAACTTTCAATTTTTACCTCTTTATAATATTAGTATAGACTAACACGTTAAAATTGGCTTTTTACTTTTAGTAAGGTATATCTACTTGTCATCTAATATGGCCAGTATCGATGTTTACTAGAAAGTAGACCAAGGTTCCATCGGCCATCTACCAATTCCATCATCGAAGTAGTAACATGGTAACATAATGTTTGACGGACATGATATTACATCTATACTAAAATTATAAAGAGAAAGACATTGAAAGTTTACTGTTCAATAAACACGCGTTTATTACTAAAAGCGTGTTAATTGACCTCTAAAGTACCTGTGATAGCAATTGTCCATCATCAGCCTATAAGTGCCCACTGCTAAGCAAAGACCTCTTGTCATACAGAACTGTCAACGCACCACGCTTGCTCAATGCGGATTGGCGATTTCAAATTTATAAAATATAAAGTTCAGGTTTCCTCACAATGTTTTCCTTCACCGTATGTCAGTAATTTATTTTTGTGAGGGGAATATCATCATATGACTTCTCGTCGCCCAGGGCTGGACAGGAGGGAGTGTCAGACTCTTACTGACTACCCCCCGTTCCTTCTCCTGCTCTGGGCCGAGGTCGCGGTGCCTCATTGAGCTTACCCCGCAACCCCAGCTGAACATCGGCCCTTTAGGGCCCCGTCTGTGGTGGTCTATTGGCTCTTTGAGGCTCGCGCGTAACGCTACGCGCCGTACGCTCGGGACCGTATGTCAGTGGTGTTTCAATAATCATAGAAAGAACATATATTTCGGACAAAGTTACATTGGTAGTTGCACGCCCTCATGCATGAGAAGCTGGCGTGTTAACCTCCGGGCCACCATGGCACTGATTGATTTGATGATGATATACAGTAGTTCCTCTTTTTACTTTTGTAACCAAATAACATTTTAAGTGCTGATTTGCCTGAAAATGGTCGTTCAAGGACATATGTTAAATACCCTTTCTCAATGCGCCTTCTTTTGGAAATCCAGTCTACAATAGATAAAATGTTACACTTATTAGTTGTATTGAGTTTTTGTAACAAATTAAGATAGACCTACCTTAAAAAAAATACGTTACACTGCCAATATTTTCTCCTGTGTCGTGGGTGCGTTTACAAACATACAATTTCCCCGACCCGGAACAATAATTTGTGGATAACTCAAAGAGTTGTTCCGTGCGGGAATTAAACCCGCGGCACGTAGACCGGCAGCCAATTGCCCAGTCACCGCGTCCACCGTGCAAATTATGGATGGAAACAACTGATAGATGCACTATTAATTTCATCCTTTACTTTTCCCTTTCGAGGCACCCACAAGAAAAATGGCGTTTGACGACAAATTCATATATTCTAAGGTTCCGTCACCACAGCCTCGGATCCAACATTGAGTATATTATTTTTAATTGTACGTTGTATCTATTCGGACGGGCTACGCGACACGTTGGTATTGAGGTCACTAGGTCGCTCGCCACCTACTTTAGGGAACCAACGCCCTACAGCGATACTACGTATATATGTACATACTTCTATTATATTATTTACTAGCTACTCTCGCGCGGTTTCATCCGCTGCTCGGTTCCGTTTAATCGTAGCGTGATGTTATATAGCCTATAGCACTCAGGAACATTGTAGCTATCTATCAGTGAAAGAATTTTGGCAATCGAACCAGCGGTTCCAAAGATTACCCATAATACACATACAAACTTACAAGTTTTACCTCTTTGTAATAGTAGAGTTCGTAGATGTTTTCTAGCCTACTAGCTTTTGCCTGCGACTTCGAACGCGTGAAATGGTGACTTTCTGCAGATTTTTGGTATAAAAGCTGTCCTATGTCCTTTCTCGAGTTTCAAAATATGTCTGTACCAATTTTCGGTTCAGTAGTTTAGGCGTGAAGATAAGACAGACAGATAGACAGAGTTACTTTCGCATTTATAATATTAGTTTGGATAGACACACACCTACAGCCTCTCTCGATAAATGGACTAACGAACATAAAAACAATGGTTCAATTCGAACCAGTTGTTCTAGAGATTGGCGCGTTCAAACAAACAAACTATATATATATTGACTACCTTCTGTTAGAGGTTTCCCCTGCGTTACATGAATAAAAGTAAACAATAGGCTATTCGAGACTATAATGTAGGTATATTTTTCAATTCAATTCAATTCAATTCTTTATTTGCATTCCATATGTTATACAGGTGATTAGAAACAATATGGACCCGGTAGCATAAAGAGTTTGGAGAGGTTTATTATACAGTACTTAATATCTAGTTTTGTATTATATCTATGCTTATTACTGAAACTGAAGCACACATGTTGTATTCTTACTTATTAAACTTATTAATACTTATCTTAATGTATGTGAGCGTGCGTGTATTTGGGTGTGTGTGAGTGAGTGTTCCGAAGTTACATCAAAATCTATTCAGTAGTTTAGATAGTGTGAAAACATACATCATTAGAAATGTTCGCATTTATAGTGTGCAGTAGGATATTTATTGCTTCGTTGGTTTAGTGGTTACTGTTGAGAAAACTGCTGACTGAAAACGAGCAGAGGGATTACCTGGGGGTAAGCAATCAGCGCCGCCCATGAACGCTCGTAATACTAGAGGAGTTTCTACTAGTGCGTTATCAGAGACAAGGGTTTTGAGGATTGGGGATGGAGTATCCTTAAAAAAACCTTTTTTTCGGCGTAGGATATGAATGTCAGGAAAAAATAAAATAAAAATGAAAGTATGTGTTATTCCCTACTATAATCTGTCTCTATACCAGCATATGTATATCATTTTTAAGTGTGCTTTTGCAAGAATGGGTATTTTCGACCGGAATGATAGCACGGCTTCACAGAAAACTGTTGTGAAACAACCACAATGTTGTTTCGCAGTGTGAGTGCGGTTACCGAAGGCCTGATCCCTCTCTCTCCCCCTATCCCTTCCCAATCCTTACATATCCGAAACCCTTATCTCCAAAAAGGTTACGGGTGTCCATGGGCGACGCTGATTGCTTATCATCAGGTAATCAGTATGCTCGTTGCCGACATATCCTATACCAACATTGAAATATTTCCTCTTGCTATAATATAAGTAGATAAACAATTAGGGACAGCCCGAATTAATGTCATGCTTTGTGACCAGTCGAGCCTATTGCCAAACATCGTCAATTGGACATTGTGTTGTAATGGGAGGTTGACATACCGCATGGTAATACTGATAATTATGATAACCAAAGCTTGCCTAGTTAAGTGGTCGTTAATACTAGGGATGTTATGGATATAAAATTTCGAATACTGATATAGGAATGATTATTATAGGTACTGGATACTTACGGATAAGGATACGAAATTATTTCGGATTATCCGTTAGTTTCGGATAATTTCGGTTAGGGATATTAAAATTTTAAGGAATTTCAAAGTAAAATACAAACATGTGTCTAAATTAGGCTTCGCCCCTATCCGATTTTATTCGAAAGTTTTATTTCGGATTCAGTTACGGTTACGGATATTTTTTATATGATAGTTTCGGTTACAGTGTATTGCCATTAGGGCCTTCCATTCGTGCCGAAGCTTGGCTCTCCCACACTTAATGATGATGAAATGAACTATGCAACACACAAAGTATTATGTAATTCGAACCAGTTGTTTAGAAGATAAGCGCCTTCAAACAAACAAACTCTTGAGCTTTATAACATGCAGCAGTCATTAATGTTTACAATGTAAGTGATGTTGATATTTTTTCTTTACTAAAAATAATCATTTTCTTTCGCAGATGGACATATACGTTCAGACAGCAAGTCCTATAGTGGAACAAGTTCTTAAAGGGTACAATGGGACTATCTTCGCGTACGGACAGACGGGGACAGGCAAAACCTACACAATGGCTGGCAGCAACACCGCACCAGAGTTACGGGGGATCATTCCAAACTCCTTCGCGCATATTTTCAGCCATATTGCTAAAGCTAATGAGGATGAGAAGTGAGTACTAGTACAGTGAGTACAGTAGTACTGTACAGACTGCAGTACAGACTGCACGGTTGGCGCGGTGGCTGGGCAACTGGCTGCCGCGCAACGTGTCGCGGGTTCGATTCCCGCACGGAACAACTCTTTGTGTGATCCACAGATTGTTGTTCCGGGTCTGGGTGTGATGTGCATGTGAAATTGTATGTCAGTAAACGCACCCACGACACAGGAGAAAATCCCAGTGAGGGGCAACGTTTTTTTTTAAAAAAAAGTAGTGCCAGCTTTTATGTTATAGTTCAGCAAATAAGCAGACTGATGCCTCATGGTAAGCAACCGGCGCCGCCTATGGACATCTGCAACACCAAAGGCCTTTTAAGGATGAGGGTTTCGGATATTTAAAAATTGGAAAGGGATAGGGAAGGGGCGGGACTGGGCCTCAGTCGTACGGCGAAACACAACGGTGTGGTGGTTTCTCGCTGGTTTTCTGTGAGGCCGTGGTATCACTCCGGCCGAGTCGACCCATTCATGCCGACGCTTGGCTCTCCCACACACAAACTAATGTTGTTCTGCCTGGGGCATTCTGTGACGGTTTTTTCTTTGATGTGGGTAAATAACTTCTTCCGCCTTCCTTGATGGGGCGCGAGAGAGAGAGAGAGAGAGAGAGAGAGAGAGAGAGAGAGAGAGAGAGAGAGAGAGAGAGTCCGGCTCTTACCGACTAAAAACCACCCTGTTCCTTCTCCTGCTCTAAGCCAAGGCCGTGGTACATTATGGCGCTTATACCCGCAATCCCGGATGATGAAACCTGGACTGGAACTTTTTAGTCAGTAAAGTCTGACACTCCCCCTCGCCTCATCGTGGGCGGGATTTTCCCCTCACAAAAAATGTTTCATCACGATGTTTTCCTTCACCGTATGCCAGTGACGGGTCTGTGGTCGGCGAGTAAGGGCAGCTCGCTGCCCGACCAGAACCAGGCCCGAGCGTACGGTGCTTAGCGTTCCGCGCGCGCCTTAAAGAGCCAATAGACCACCACAGACGGGGCCCTAACGGGCTGATGTTCAGCCGGGGTCGCGGGGTAAGCGCAATGAGGCACCGCGACCTCGGCCCAGAGCAGGAGAAGGAACGGCGGGGTTTTTAGTCAGTAAGACACTCCCTCCTGAGAAGTCATTTGATGATTTTCCCCGTCACAAAAAAAAACCTTATGCCAGTGGTATTTGAATAATCATGATGACTATGCATAGAAAGTACGTATAACATGGAAAAAGTCACATTGGTACTTATTGTTTATTAGTATTTGTTCTAAGTACGACGTACATAACTACATATGCCATATTCGTCTCTTTGTAGCCAAGGTTTAACAAATAAGTATGTTTTTTGAGACAAAATCATGACCTCGAAACACTAAAATACATAATCGCGTACAAAATTCAAAGAAAACTGATGATTTTGACAATTCGAAGTTTTAAATTTGACTGGTCGTCATCTAGCCAATCCAATATGAACATAAATCCAGTGAAACAAAGGAAGCGGCAACATTTTAATCCACAATCGCATATCAACGTACACCAATCCGTTTTCAACCCTAATCTCTCATGATAAAGTCGTGAGTTCCCTGCAACTTACCCCCTACCCCCTCCCCGTATATTAAAGGTATCGATTGACAATCGCACCCCGCCATCTTGTCGGCGCCGACCCCACGTTGACCCAGTTACAAAGATGCACGTTGGAAGCGAAATATTATTGTATTTGCATGTTTTCAAATTCAAATCGAACGTTCTAGAATCTGGGATAAATGGAACACATACATAATTGAACTTAATAACGCAACAGACAATTCGATTTTCAAATCGATTGAAAAAGAGTAACCATGGAGTTTCTTGTTCGTTCTTCTCCATAGAAATGTACACTTTGGAACGAGCAAATAGCTTAAATAGGGGTCTGACCGAGAGACTTACTACCACGTGTGAGAGAGCCATGCTTCGGCACGAATGGGTCGTCTCGACCGGAGTGATACCACGGCCTCACAGAAAACTGGCGTGAAATAACCAAAGCGTTGTGTTGTGCCGTGTGAGTGAGGTTACCGGAGGCCCAATCCTTCCCCTACCCCAATCTGTTCCCTTTCCCAAAATCTCCAAATGCCTAATCCCCAAAAGCTCGACAACGCACTCGTAACTTCTCCTTCGTTGCGGGTATCCATGGGCGACGCTGATTCCTTACCATCAGGTAATCCGTTTGCTCGTTTGCCGACCTATAACATAAAAAAAACTGACACTGTTTATTTTGTTTGACGTCCAAACCTGATAGGTATTAGGTACCCTTTTTTGTGAGGCAATGAGGCGAGAGGGAGTGTCAGACTCTTACTGACTAAAAACACCCCCGTTCCTTATCCTGCTTTAGGCCGAGGTCGCGGCACCTTATTGAGCTAACCCCGACATTGGCGTTGTAAGGCCCCGTGTGGTGGTTAATTGGTTCTTTGAGGCGCGCGCGGAACATAGCTGATAGTTGATACCCTCGATTAACACATAAGCTTAGCACCTTAGAAGGCACACATAATTGTCAGGTTTCCAGCAATGCAAAAGAACCCTCGAACTTCGAGCCACAACAACATTATATGAATTGAGGCCCAATCCTTCCCCTGCCCAAATCCCTTTCCAATCCCTAAATCTCCCAAATCCCTAACCCCCAAAAGGTCGGCAACGCACTCCTAACTCCTCTGTTGTTGCGGGTGTCCATGGGCGGCGCTGATTGCTTACCATCAGGTAATCCGTATGCTCGTTTACCGACCTTTCACATAAAAAAAACTTTTATAATAAATAAATAATTATATTCCAGATTCCTCGTATGTGTGACGTACTTGGAGATTTACAATGAGGAGGTGCGCGACCTCCTTGGTAACAATCCTCACCAGAGCCTCGAGGTGAAGGAGCGCCCAGACATCGGGGTCTTCGTGAAAGACCTGACAGGTATACTTTACAAAAATTTCTTAAAGGCCCAGTTCAAGTTTGCTTGGTTTTAAGGCGATCACATATATTATATCCTCTGATTTATTCCGTTGCGGGATCCAAGACAGTTATTCGTGTCCCTGGGACGCGCGAAACTTCAGTGTTTCATGGTTGTATGTACTGTAGATCCTGACTTAAATGAGTTCCAAGGGAGATTGCAACGCGATTGTTGCCTTGAATGGAAAAAAATACACCACTGACTACATTTTTGCGAGTAAAATGGCGTTTAAAACTGTTTTTGATAGCTCATCGCCATACGGCGCCATGGCGTGATTCCAGATTCGTGACTTTTAGAAAACCCCAATAGGTACTACTGGACATGCCCCATCTTCCCTTGAACCCCTTGCTTTTCGTTTTTTAAATAACCGAAGTGGTACAACGGCCTGACAAAATACTAGCCCTAAACAAAGTATGCTGTGTGAGAAAGGTTACACATACGGTCAAAAATTCATTTTGCATTGGAAACGCACTCGTTGTTGCGAAGTTTACATAGAAAAATCCTTTATTATTCTATTATATTTCCTAGGCTATGTGGTTCACAACGCGGATGAGCTAGAGAAAATAATGGCGGTTGGCAACAAAAACCGTCATATAGGCGCCACGGCTATGAACACTGAGAGTTCCCGGTCTCACGCCATCTTCTCCATCACAGTGGAGAGCAGCAAGAAAGGCGCGGACAATAAGATGCACGTCAAGATGGGAAAGCTACACCTTGTGGATTTGGCTGTAAGATTCTACTATCCTACTCATCCTACTATCCTACTACTCCTACTCATCCTACTAGTCCTACTATCCTACTAATCCTACTGATTCCTACTATCCTACTAATCCTATAATTCTACTATCCTAATAATCCTACTATCCTAGTAATCATACTATCCTACTAATCCTACTATCCTTGTAATCATATTGTCCTACTAATCCTACTATCCTACTAATCTGACTATCCTACTAATCCTACTATCCTACTATCCTACTAATCTGACTATCCTACTAATCCTACAATCCTACTAATATTATACATGTGAAAGTTTGCGAGAATGTATGGATGTATGTTTGATTGTTACACGCAAAAACGGCTGGACCGATTACTTACTTAACTGACAATTTATACATTTAAAAAAACTATCATACAATGGTTATAAGAAAATGGATGGCGAACAAGGGTAGCCTCGCTGTCCGATCAGAAACAGGTGTGCCTACTTCGGATCGAATAGGGCTAATGTTCAGCCGGGGTTACAGTTCAAGAGCTATAAGGTACTGCGGCCTCGGCCTGTAACTGAAGAAGAAATGGGGTGGTTATCAGTCAGTAATAATCTGGCACTCCCCTAACCCCTTTAGGGATAAAAATAACGGATGATTATCCCCCTTAACAAAGAAAAAAGAATTTGTACTTTGTTAAGCAATAAGTGCAACAAGTAATCTTGCACTGATGATATGGGAAAGAATCAAATAAAAATTAAAAAAAAAAATATATTAAATTTTAACTATACATCCTTCCCACAGGGTTCAGAACGGCAAAGCAAGACGCAGGCAACGGGCACTCGTCTGAAAGAAGCAACTAAAATCAACCAATCTCTCTCAGTGCTGGGCAACGTGATCTCAGCGCTGGTCGACGGGAAGTCCACTCACATACCGTACAGGAACTCTAAACTGACCCGATTACTGCAAGACTCGCTCGGAGGCAACTCTAAGACTGTTATGGTAAGTGACTATATATCTATCTACATATTTACTCACTCACTCATACATATACTCACTCACTCACTCATAAATATATTCACCCACTCACTCATACATATACTCACTCACTCATCCAGTCACACACTCACTCACTCACTCACTCAGTCACACACTCACTCTCTCAGTAATTCATTCGCATACACCTACTCACTGACATCGGACACACTCAACTTATAACATTCCAACTCACTCATACGTATGCATAACTCTAAACTAACAAGACTGATGGCAGACTCGCTCGGAGGCAACTCTATCTATCTACATACTCACTTACTCACACATAACCCACTCACTTACCTACTTACATACCTATTCACGCAATCAAATACATAACTCAACAGACTCACTTGGAGGCAACTCTTAAAGTGTCATGATAAGTGACATATCTATCTTATAGCTTACTCACTCACACATCACCTACCCACTTACTCACTCACTCCCTTACTCAAATACAGAACTCTAAGCTAACTAAGTAGACTTCATCATCAGCGTGATTTCGTCCACTGCTGGACATAAGCCTACCCAATTACATGCCACTGTACTGTTCTTCTCATAGAGTAGTGTAGAGTGGCAAGCAGACTGGCTCGGAGACAACTCTAAGATTGTCATGGTAGGTGACATATCTATCTACATACTCACTCACTTACACATCACCCACTCACTTACTCACTAAAAGCAGTATTCTAAAGGTAACGGGAAGGGTCTGAGCCGCCGGTATTAGGGCTCCAAAAAAAGGAATCTCCAGACAATACGCGCCTCCAAGAGTAGTTTTCTGCTTCTAGTCCTTGACTTAACTATCTAAATAGACTGCACAGTTGATGTGGTGACTTGACAGTCCATCATCATCACCGTCAACAACAATCAATCTCCTACATTATCATCATTACATCATCAGCCTATAAGTGTAAGTGTCCACTGCTGTGCAAAGGCCTTTTCTCACACGGACAAGGTTTGAGCATTAATCACCACGGTTGCTTGAAGCGGATTGGCGATTTTAAACTTAAAATTAGAATTAGGTCCAGGTTTCCTCACAACATTTTCCTTGTCAGTTGTGCCTAAATAATCAAAGAAAGTACATACCACTCGGAATAAGTTAAGTGGTACTTGCCAGGTTTCGAGCGGGTGCCTTAACCTCCGGCCCACCACGACCTTAATGGCTTGGCAGCCCACTACCCTGCAACGTGTTGTGGGTTCAATTCCCTCATAAAAAACTTTGTGTCATCTACAAATTGTTGTTCCGAGCCTGGGTGTGATGTGTGTGTAAAATTGTATATTTGCTAACGCGACCACGACATAAGAGAAAATCTGACAGATGGGCAAAGTATTAAAAAAAAACTGTTAGGTACCTAAGGTTTTGGTCAAGGCTTTTAGTTATAAGGTTTTAAATATTATTTTTAGTTACAAAAGGAATACTAATCTTTGTAATAAGTAACAGTTTAGTTTTGATCAAAGTAATATCACCCTTATAAGCTCTATAGCTATAAGTTCCCTTATAGGTTCTTGCTCTTTTAAATTACAGATAGCTACCATAGGGCCGGCGGACACGAACTACGTTGAGACAATAAGCACGCTCCGTTACGCGAACCGCGCGAAGAATATCGAAAACAAGACTCATGTTAACAGCGAGCCGGGAGACGCATTGCTTACCAGGTATGAACCAACTAACAGCTAAAATTAATTACCGCTCTTATACAAAAACTAAGTTTCTGACACATTATCATTAGCCGAAATAAGCGTGGGAGCTAAGCTTCGGCACGAATGGAGTGATACCACGGCCTCACAGAAAACAGGTATAAAACAACCACAGCGTTGTGTTTCGCCGTGTGACTGAGGACCGGAGGTCCAATCTCACCCCTACCCCCATCCCTTCCCAATCCTTAGTTATCCGCAATCTTTATTCCTTAAAGGCCGGCAACGCACTCGTAATTGTGGGAGTGCCATGCTTCGGCACGAATGGGTCGCCTGGACCGGGGTGATACCACGGCCTCACAGAAAACCGGCGTGAAATAACCAAAGTGTTGTGTTTCGCCGTGTGAGTGAGGTTACCGGAGGCCCAATCCTTACCCTACCCCAATCCGTTCCCTTTCCCAAAATTTCCAAATCCCTAATCCCTAAAAGGTCGACAACGCACTCGTAACTCTTCTGTCGTTGCGGGTGTCCATGGGCGGCGCTGATTGCTTACCATCAGGTAATCCGTCTGCTCGTTTGCTGACATAAAAAAATACGTTCACTGCTGAACAAAGGCTTTCCCCATAGTCTTACGGGTCGAACGACAACTCGCCACCTAGCTGCATCCGTTGGCTCCGACTCTGACGATGTCGTCGATCCACGCTAGCCATAGGCGTGTCTACGCTCCGGTCACCGGTGCCTGGTGGCCACTTTAGTACTTTTCGGACCCGAGTTTGTTTTGACTAATGAAAGTTATCTTATGACCTCTCCCTCCTGACTAAATAGGGAGGGGGCGTTAGTGTCACTATTACTGACTAACACCCGGTTTCCGAAAGGCCGATCAATGTTAAAATCAATTTAATCTCTTGTCAAGTCATCTGATTGGTTGACTGAATTATCAACAACCAATCAGATGACTTGACAAGAGATTTAACAGGAGATTAGTTAATTTTAGCGTTGACAAACCTTTCAGAAACCGGGTGTAAGAATCATTCCGTTCCAAATCAATTCCTGGTCTTGGCGTAACAGAAGGAACGGGGAGTTTCCCAGTTAGTAAGAGTAACTTTCCACTAAATCAATCAGGCAATGATCTTTAAAAAAAAAATCCGCTAGTTATAGATAATAAGATACATTTGTTTCTTTACAGATTCCAACAGGAGATCGACCAACTCAAGAAACAACTTGATGAATGCACTAATGGTAAGGCAAATTCAAATGTTTTAATTACAATTCATATCACACACCAGCTTTTAAGTGCTTACTGCTAAGCAAAGGCCTCTTCTCACATGTAACAAATTAATTCGACGTTGCAATACAATAAAATCATAATCATAATCATAATTCTTTATTGCATCCACAATGTAAGATTATGGTAATAATATGTATAGTAACAATCATGGACCCTGATGGGCACAGCAAATAGTAGGTAAATTAGAAGAGAGGCAGGCTTGTTTTGTATAGAATTATGCACAAGTATTTCGTATTCTAAGTATGTATAGTATTGCTATTATGTTTATATTTTAATAGGTATTTAGATATTAATATATATATATATATATATATATGTATATATATATATATATATATAATATTATATATATTATATATATATATTATATATATATAATAAATTTCACAGATTGGTGAAGAAAATTAAACTTATATTTCAGTTTAATTTTCTTCACCAATCTGTGAATACGTAAATTTTTGATATTTTTTAAGAAACAAGTAGGTAAGCTATTTGACGCATAAATACTATGACGTAATTTGGAGTTTCATACAAAATTTCATATAAAGATATTGTCTCTGACATTTGGATAATAGTATTGAATTTGACTAGTTGCAAACTACCGTATTACAAGTCCAAGTTTCCTCACGATGTTTTCACCTTCACCGTGTGTATTACTCGTGAATTAAATAGACATAGTAGTATTAGTTAGTAGTTTTATTATATACTAGCGTCCCACCCATTGCCCCGTAGGAACCGCCTACGGGGCAATGCTGATACTAAATTTCTCCAATATAAAATATTTATTAATATACATTTATTATTAAATGTGTATATAAATGTATATTTTTGCGCGAAACCGGAAATCGGCCACATTTGACGATTTTTGAAAACCGGTTATGACAGCCAAAACCGGCTTTCAATTCCGGTTTTCACACTCTCACTCTCTAAAATAAATAATTTTGAGGCATCAAATGTTCTTTTTATTCCATATTTATTATGTGTTCTACTAACAAGTGTTGGGAGTGAAAGGGTGTTTTTGAGTGCTGGGTATTTCTGTAACAAAATAAGAAGTTCGCTGTCTGATCGAGTATCATACAATTTGCTTTATTTGTAGACGTAGTAAGTATTTCAATAAATGGTGTTTCTTTTCAAATTGCACTACATTCGAGTTTTTTTGCTGAAATCAAGCTAGCTCCGGTTTTCGGTTTTGGTCCCAAAAAAAAGATTTTCAAAACCGGTTTTGATGACTTACCGGTTTTGCATGCCCAGCGATCCGCCCTAGCTTTGCACGCGGGCCTTATTGATACAAAATTTCCTCACTTTTTATTGGCCGTTATTAGACATATAAACCTTCCTTTTCAATCACTGTATCTATTAAAAAAACTGCATCAAAATCCGTAGAGTAGTTTTTAAGATTTAAGCGTACATAGGGATATAGGGACCGAGAAAGCGACTTAGTTTTATACTATGTATCGATGATAATAATAAGATCTGTATTCTCTTTTCTATAGAAGAGGAAGAAGTTGAAGAAGAAGGCGAGGGAGAGTTATCAGAAGAGGACTTGTCAGACGATACTCTTACTGATCCGGAGGCCGACGTACTGGACCCTACGGAGAAGAAGATCAGACGCAAGCTAAGAAGGGAGGAGAAGGTACCTACATGATTTATATAGAATAAGTCGAACAGAGTTTTTACCTGATGGTAAGCATGGCAGCGCTACGGACGTTAGATGTCGGTTAGACGACGTTAGGTATATGAGGATTGGGGAAATGGGGATAAGAGGTGGGGGGAGGATTAAGCCTCTGGTAACTTCACACACACACGGTTCTATCAAGGAAACAAAAAATGAAGCTTAATATTTTTTGATGTGATTTTGCTGCTAATAAGCATTTGGAACTTGTGGTAAGCAATCGGCGCCGCTCTTCAGGTGTTAGAAGTGCGCTGTTTTTTTATGTAATAAGTCAGCAAAGGAGCAGACGGATTACCTGATGGTAAGCAATCAGCGCCGCCCATTGACGCCCGCAACGGAGGAGTTACGAGTGCGTTTCCGACCTTTTAGGGATTAGGGATTTGGAGATTAAGGGATCGGGGAGCGGAAAGATTAGGCCTCCGGTAACCTCACTCACACGGCGAAACCGAAATGCCGAAGCTTGGCTCTCATACTTAAGTGTGCGCCTTTTTACTGTAAGCTATTTAAGAATTGTGGAGTTTAGTATTGAGATGATTTCATTTATACTTTGTTATTTGACCTCCGTATAAATAAACAGATCAATACAAAAATCAAATTGTTGGTCTTTTCACAGGAGAAACTGAACAGAGAGAAAGCTCATCTCGCACGAAAGGTCCTTGAAGAGAAGAAAGCTGAACTGCAGAGAACTAAGTGAGTTTTTAGTTCATTTTTAGGGGGGGGGGGGGAGATTACTATTTTAGTTTCCGCCTTGGGTGTGGCGAGAGCGGGATTTGAATTCGATCGTCTTTGTAGTTACAATTGACCTATACATAGGGTAGTTTCCTAGGTAAAAAATAAAATAATTCGATACACAAAATTTTACATATTTTTTAAGCTAAATTGTAAGAAATACGTAAGCAATTTTACTTAAAAATACTATGACGTCATAACTCAGTGTTTCATACAAATTTCATAGAAAATTATCGTTTTTGACATTTGGATAAAAGCATTGAATTTGACTAGTTGGAAACTGATGGTATTTATGATTCAGACAAACAATGATACTAATATAACACACGGCCCATAATCAGCCTCTAAATGCCCACTGCTGAACAAAGGCCTCTTCTCAAACGGAGAAGGTTTGAGCAATTACCAACCTTGCCAAAAAACAAACCACGCTTGCTCAACGCGGATTGGTGATTCCAAACTTATAATTAGAAACTGGTAGATTTTTTTTTTAATGTTGCCCCTCTCTAGCATTTTCTCCTGTGTCGTGGGTGCGGTTACAAACATACAATTTCATATGCAGATGACACCCAGATCCGGAACAACAATTTGTGGAACACACAAAGAGTTGTTCTGTGCGGGAATCAAACCCACGACAGGTTGCACGGCAGCCAGAATTAGCGTGGCTCGACGTTTTTTTTATGATCTGTTCTGTTCAGCTGTGTGTGAGTGCGCTAATAAATTGTAATATATAAAACATTACTTCTTACACAGAAAACAACAAGAGGAGCTTAAGGATAAGCTTCAACGTCTAGAGTCCAAAGTGTTAGTGGGCGGCGAGAACTTGCTGGACAAAGCGGACGCCCAGCGCCAGCTACTGGAGCAAGCTGCTAGAGAACTCGAGCTTAGAAGGCTCAATGAGCTACGGTTGCAGGAGGATTTGCAGAAGAAAGAGGTTAGATATTTTTTTTTTGTTTTAAGCATTATTTATTGCGACTGCACGGTTGGTGCGGTGGCTGGGCAACTGGCTGCCATACGACGTGCCGCGGGTTCGATTCTCGTACGGAGCAACACTTTGTGTGATCCACAAATTTTTGTTTCGGGTCTGGGTGTCATGTGTATGTGAAATTGTATGTTTGTAAACGCAGCTAAGACACAGGGGGCAACGTTTTTTCTAAAATAAAATAAATAAATCAATTGTTTTACTAAGTATAACACAAAATTTTGAAGAAATATTGATTTAATTTTTTTTTGTCGTACGAAGAACGAGCAAGAACTGCATCGCCGAGTATTCATTCGTTCTGAGAATTTGAATACTAAGCTACCGCCCGCGGCTTCGCACTCGTAACATAGTAATATTATTATTTCCAGTAAAGCGATAGCTTAACTAAAATACGCAAAATGCGTAAAAATATACTCAAATCTTAATATATAATTCTGCTGTACCTACGTGTGTATGTCATTCAACTCCTCCTAAACGGCTTGACCGATTTAAATGTTTTTTCTGTATGCGTTTGAGTGGCGCCCTGGGTGGTTTAGATTCCACGGGTCCACTTAAACTGGTGTGGTTTTTAGACTTAATACCACTATAGAATGAACTTGCACGGTTCTTTCACGAAAAGAGACTGACCTCTGAGTTTATTTCGGCATTTCTTCTCAGAGTAGTCAGATAGGAAATGCCGGCTTCATCTAGTTTTTCACATATAATTTGACGTGTGAAAGTGCCGTTTCATGGCCTATTTGCAAAAATAAATTCATTGTTTCACAAATCAGCCCGGCAGATGGCGCCATGTATTATTTTCGAGAACGGTCCGCTAGTAAAATATATTTGATTTGCATATTTATAAATTATAACTTATAGCACTCAGAAACATTGTAGCCAAAAAAGTCAAAAGTCAAAAATCATTTATTTCAATTAGACCACAGTAGGCACTTTTGAACGTCAAGCAAGCAAAAAAAGAAAAAAGTATATAATACGAGCTTTAAAATTAAGCGTGTCAGTCTGTCCGTCTGTCCTCTAGTGAAGCTATTTGCTCGTTCCAAAGTGTAGATTCCTATGGAGAAGAACGAGCAAGAAACTCCATGGTTACTCTTTTTCAATCAGTTTTACAATACATTTCTTTGTTACATAATTTAGTCGGTTCTGACATGTGAGAACAATGTAACACTAGTGTTCAGGCAAAAAGTACGAAAAAGAAGTGAACCTCAAGGACAACATATTTAGACAGCCTGGAGCTGACCAGTCCCCAATAGGCGGCGCCCGTTCACGAACATGACACGTACACCAGCACCGCCCAACTCAACCATATTATAGGGAATTGGGCGATCCAGTGCCCGTGCCACCGCCAATGAGACCTCTGAGTGAGCATGACAGCTCCCAGCCGCATAGCAATTTTTCAGTGAAATAAATTTACTTTTCAGTGGTTGCAAAGATTACCCCCCTACATACAAACTTACAAATTTTACCTCTTTATAATATTATATAGATTGTCCAGTGGAGTCAACCAACATGCTCCCCAAGCATTCTTATTCCCAATATAATTCATTTTCATTTTTTTTATGGTATATGTCGGCAAACGAGCTGACGGATTACCTGATGGTAAGCAATCGGCGCCGTCCATGGACACCCGCAACACCAAATGAGTTACGAATGCGTTGCCGGCCTTTTGGGGATAGGGGTTGCGGATAAAAGGATCGAGAAGGGATAGGAGAATGGGAGGGATTGGGCCTCCGGTAACCTTACTCACACGGCGAAACACAACGCTGGGTTGTTTCACGCCGGTATTCTGTGAGACCGTGGTATCACTCCGGTCGAGCCGACCCATTCGTGTCGAAGCTTGGCTCTCCCACACTTTGTTTACACAATTATTATTATTTTAAATAGTGATGGTGTTTACTACATTTTGTTAAGATTTTAGATTTTAATGTTCTTTATCCATTGTAGGCTGAACGTCTAGATCTAGAAGAAAGATATTCAAGTCTTCAAGAAGAAAATGCAGCGAAAACTCGCAAGTTGAAGCGAGCGGTACAACTCCTGAACTCCGCTAAGGCAGAGCTGGCTGACCAGCAGCGGGAACAGCAGAGGGAAATGGAGGGAATCCTGGACAGTGTGAGGGCCCTCAAGAGGGAAATACAACTCGCTGACCTTGTACTAGATTCTTATATTCCTAAGGAGTATCAGGTATGTTTTACTTTGGTTTATTTTTTTATGTAATAATTCAGCAAACGAGCAGACGGATTACCTGATGGTAAGCAATTAGCGCCGCCCATGGACACCCGCAACGGAGGAGTTACGAGTGCGTTGCCGACCTTTTAGGGATTTGGAGATTTAGGAATTGGGCAAGGGAACAACAATTTGTGGATCATACAAAGAGTTGTTCCGTGCGGGAATCGAACCCGCGACACGTTGCGCTTCAGCCAGTTGCCCAGCCACCGCGCCAACCGTGCAGTCAATTTATAATGTTGTGTACAATAATAAATAAATTAATTAATTAAAAAAATATATACTCTGCAGGCTTTGATCGAGCAGTACGTCCACTGGAACGAGCAGCTGGGCGAGTGGCAGGTCAAGTGCGTCGCGTACACCGGGAACAACATGAGCGCGCCGCATCACTCCGCCACGCATGCGCACACCAAACATGTAAGTACTCCGGGCCTATTGCCATGTTCACTCAGGGCTGATGTTCAGCCAGGGTTGCGGGTCATACGCAATAATGTAATGTGTGTAAGATAAAGAGAGAGAGAGAGAGAGAGAGAGAGAGAGAGAGAGAGAGAGAGAGAGAGAGAGAGAGAGAGAGAGAGAGAGAGAGAGAGAGAGAGAGAGAGAGAGAGAGAGAGAGAGATAGAAAGAGAGAGGGGGGGTGATAATTTTCTCCCCATCGATGCAGCGTATATACGTATTCGTATGAATAAAAAAACAAACATGCTTTTAGGAAGTTATACTAAATAATAAAAATTATATGTAACTAGTTACTTCCTCGCGGTTCCACCAGCTGCTCGGCTCTGTTTGATTGTAGCGTGATGTTTTAACATTGTAGCTATCAATTAGTGAAAGAATTTTGGAAATCGGACCAGTGGTTCCAAACATTACCCGCTACATACAAACTTACACATTTTACCTGGTTATTATAATATTAGTATACATACAGACACAACTCACATACGGTGAAGGAAAACATCGTGAGAAAACTTGGACTCATAATCCGCTGGTGATTAATGTTCAAACCACCGTGTGAAAAGAGGCTCTTGCTCAGCAGTGGGCACTTGTAGGCTGATGCTGTGTGTGTATATAGCTTAGTTGAAACAAATGTTTTTAACTTTACAATAAATGTCTCTAAATATCCATTTGAGCTTTTGCAACCCATTCAGTTACTCTTATCGATATTCTCAGTAATGTTACGAAGTAGGATAGTGTTTCAAGTGTAAATATGATTAGCGTAAAAGTAATTCCCCGTGCCCAGTACTAAAGATTACCCCCTACATACAAACTTACAAATACACAAACTTACAAATTTTACCTCTTTATAATATTAGTATAGATGACATTCTTTTATTTGGATAGTTGGCCAGCCAATTACTTCAACTTCCACCTTCCATCGATTTAGGTACCTAGAAAGCTAAATGGAAACATTTTTACATACATTTTCAAAAACTACCATATTGCGAAGTTCAGTTTATAACTTACATTGTACATGTATTATTTTAACCCAAAATCTGGATTGAACCAGTTTTAAGACAGAAATTCTCTAGGACGATTGATAAAATATCAATACTATAAATCAGAAAGGTTTGGTTTTTTTACCCAAAATAATTATAATAATATACTTTTATTTGCTTAGAGTGTAGGTACATAAGGAGGGTGGTAAAATTATTAAAACGAATGATTTCCATGTACATTCGGCCTTTTTAGGCGTGTAAATATAATAATTAGGTTATATTTGTATTATATACAAAGAATACAAAGAAAAGGATAGGCAAGAAACAGGATATCTATCTATCTATACTAATATAAAGAGGTAGAATTTGTATGTAGGGGTTAATCTTTGGAACTACTGGTCGGATTGCCAAAATTCTTTCACTGATAGATAGCTACAATGTTCCTGGGTGCTATAAGCTATAAAACATCACGCTACGATTAAATGGAGCCGAGCAGCGAGTGAAACCGCGCGGGAGTAGCTAGTTACTTTTCAATTATCAAATTGTATCATCTAGGAATTCTTGTCAATTTATAGTAATAACATATCTGTAGTCAATGTTATGTTTATGTTAATATTAAAATTTTGATTCCAGGTTGAACCCCCAGACCTATCGGACCGCTACCTCTCCTACGGCTCAGTGAGCAGTCGTCCCGGCACTCGCCTGGCTCGCCCTCACACCTCCGCCGTACCGCGACCTCACACCGCCCTCCGTCAAAGGCAGTAATCAACACATATATTACTATCGGCCCGTACATGCTTCGCTATATAATACAAGAAGAACCGCTCGACAGATTTTGTGCAAACTTCATATACAGTGTGGTAGGTTAAATGAGGGACCACAGACAACTCAACCTAAAGACCGCGCTTTATGAGTCATATGCATTCGCCAAGGTTAGGCAGTGATACTGCATAAGAGCAATAAAGAACATTTATTGCACACAGACAGCTATAAAACCACACTTTAAAGGTGTACAATAAGTTACCTAACGTTGTTAAAGACTAGCTAGTCTCGCGCGGTTTCACTCGCTGCACGGCTCCATTTGATCGTAGCGTGTTTTATAGCTTATAGCACTCAGGAACATTGTAGCTATCTATCAGTGAAAGAATTATGACAATCTGACTAGCGGTTCCAAAGATTCCCCCGTACATACAAACTTACAAATTTTACCTCTTTATAATATTAGTATAGATCAACAATTTAGAATATTCAAAAAACGTCTAACCGAGTTATTGTTGCAAAAATTTTACTATTCTTTATCCGATTTTTTTAATGATGATTTGTAATAGTCTAACAGTGTACAGGTGGTAAGCTATATTTTTTTTTGTATGTACCCCGATGTCGTTTATCAATTAATATTTGTATGCCGAAAGGCCGAATGTTTAAGGACCCTTGAACATTGTTAACAACTTATTGTAATACCTACATTCTAAACAATCATCATCAGCCTATAAGTGCCCACTGCTGAGCAAAGGCCTCTTCTCACACAGAGAAGGTTAGAGCATTGATCACCACGCTTGCTCAATGCGGGTTGGCGATTTCAAACTTATAATTAGAAATTATAAGTCCAGGTTTCCTCACGATGTTTACCTTCACCGTATGTCAGTGGTGTCTCAATGATCATAGAAAGTACATATAACTCGGAAAAAGTCACATTGGTACTTGCCAGGTTTCGAACCCACACACACCCTCATGCATGAGAAGCGGGCTCCTCATCTTCCGGGCCACCACGACCACACACACTACCACCACACACATTCTAAACAAATAAAAAAAAATTCTTATTCTTAAAAGAGATATCTGTCTCTCATTCCGCCGCCGAGAATCAGAGCGAAACAACAACATTGTCAATTCTGACGTGTCCTTTAACGAGCCAATGAAAACTAGACTACACCCCCCCGCTACCCGCAACCTTTTAGCGATTTTGTTTTCACGCTGAAGTTTGTTTGCGCGTAGTATTAACGTTGAGTCGTCTGTGTGAGGGACATATATTCAAGGACCCGATTCTATTGATCAAATAAAACAACTTTTTTCATAAGACTAAAAATAACTAAGATATCGGCGAAGAAACTTAAAAAAGTATATATACTCCTCCCTCCTTTTTTGGAAGGCGATTAAAATAATGTAGATTTTTTTTTACATCTCCATGCAAAATACTGTAGTTTCCTACTCGTCAAATTCAATACTTTTATTCAAATGTCAAAAACTATACTTTTTAAAACTATACTTTTCTATGAAATTTGTATGAAAAACCAAGTTCTGACGTCATGGTACTTTTGCGTCAAATAGCTTATTTATTTCTTAATATTTAGCTATAAAATATCTAAAACTTAGTGTATCGATCGAGCGATCGATGAATAAAAGTTTAGTTATTTTGCAATATTTTATTGGATTGAAACGTCGAATTAATTTATTTTTGTCTTAGGAAACTACCCAATTATTAATTAGCTGTTGCGAATTGTATGGGGAAATAAATTTATTTTTGAGATTTCTATATTGGTCTCATAGAAAAAGTTGTTGTAATTGAGGACCGAAATCGGCTCCTTGAATATGTACCTCATTTAACCTATCACTCTATACAGGGTGTAAAAAGACACTTAACGAAGCCGAAAGCCACGTATTCTACCCATTATTTGGATCATTTTTTTCTGTAAGACCATAGCTGGGACTCCACGGGTTCTCGAGATATTGAGGGTCAAAGATGCATTTTTATTTTTTATTTTATTGCGCAATCGAATTCTAAGTATTATCACAAATTTTTTTCCAAACAAACATTACATGAATTTTCGATTTTTCTAAATAAATTACGCATTTGAAGTTACGAACAGTAATGTACGTAATAAATAAATCCAGACCCGCACAAAAAACATCGTGCATCTCAGTAGGATTTTTATTTTACAGAATTGTTTTGTTGTTGCGAAGTAAAACGTCGACCTACGTACTTATCACAGCGTTTTAATGCTAAGCTGTGAACCTACGCACACAATGACACGAAGCCCGTTTGCTTTACATTGCGCGCAATAAAAGAATTATTTTTTTTGATACCTAAAAATAAAAGTCGTTTCCCAGTGATAATTTTAGCGTAAAGCTACTTAGAACTGCAGTATGCGTAGTTAACGGCTTCGTTAAGTGTCTTTTTACACCCTGTGTAAACTATTTACTTAATAGTCCTAACAAAACCTAAACACTTTGTATGGTTAGGTCAGCCCCTTCTAGAGTTACAAAATTATAAAGAAAACTGGCATTGATTTTTATATGCATCGATAGTTATACAAAGGATATTTTGAAAAACAGTAACCATCCCATAGGATTGGATTACTAATATAATCCACAATTTTGAAGTTGAGTGAAACAATAAGCTAAAGTGATAGCACGGCCTTAGAAAACCGGCGTGAAACAACTACAGCGTTGTGTTACGCCGTATGAGTAACGTTACTGGGGATCTCACTAATCCCCAATCTTAAAATCCCTACTGTTTTTTATAAGTTATTCAGTAAAAGTTACAAAAATGCGTCCTTGACAACTAAACTCGCCGAACTTTAACGTTTGATGGCGAGAGGCGTTATTTATACAATACTAGCTACTCTCGCGCGGTTTCACCCGCTGCTCAGCTCCATTTGATCGTAGCGTGATGTACCTACCCAATCTGTATATTTACACATAACAGTAAAATAAGTAGGTGCAATGACTTGGTTTGTAACATCTTTTTTTGTATTTCCAATGTCCATGGGCAAATTTGTTCGCTTACAATGAGGTGACCCGTAGCTCGTTTAATAAAAAAGTTATATATTTTTGTGATTATCTTCATGATCTCTCAATGTCTCTATACTTTGATTTATTAGTCACAAAAGCGATTAGTTAAAAACCTTAGTTGTCGAGTAGGATTCGTCGACGCTATATTTTTTGTAAAGTATTGTATTTGCTTGTATAACTATACTTATACTAAGTTTTTTTTCGTTGAGCCTCATTGAGTATGAGCACGTTACATATAATTGACTTAGGGCTGATTTTTCAATGGTTAGATAAAAGTTACCTGGGGAATAATTATAATGCTGTCGCGTCAGAATATTTGTATAAGACAGAGACAGCAACAGTTTTATTCCTCAGATTACATTTATCTGACTATTGAAAAATCAGCCCTAAAGTTATTTTAATTGACTTGTAGGGCTTTAACAATGTGTATGATAATTAAAACGAGGCTTGAATTTGTTGAATTTAATTCTTGCACCTAAGTAATAGTTGAAAATCTCAAAAACGAAAAAAAAACTACCGCAAATAAAATTGAGAAAAAAATATGTTTCTAAATATTTATTATAATATCTATGAATTGTAACCAATTTGTATTTTAATATCCGTCTTTTTACCCGACTACGGCAAAGCAAAAGGAGGGTTATAATTTTAAATTAGTTCAAAACATTAAACACGGTATTTTGTCTGAGCAAAGGCCTCTTCTCACACGGAGAAGGTTTGAGCACTCATCACCACGCTTGCTCAAGCTGGATTGGCGATTTCGAACTTATAATTAGAAATTATAAATCCAGGTTTCCTCACGATATTTACCTTCGCCGTATGTCAGTGGTGTCTTAAATCATAGAAAGTGCATATAACTCGGAAAAAGTAGTGATACTTGCCAGGTTTCAAACACCCTTACCCTCATGCGTGAGAAAATAAAGAATACGTGTTTAATATTTGGTCATTAACCTGACGGACTAATTAGGTTTTTAATTTTCATAGCTATTATTAATTCATAATATTAAGGGCTGATTTTTCAATAGTCAGATAAATGTTATCTGAGGAATAAAATTGTTGCTGTCACTGTCTTATACAAACATTGTGACGAGACAGCATCATAATTATTCCCCAGGTAACTTTTATCTAACCATTGAAAAATGAGCCCTAAAACTAGTCATAATCAACGCTAGATTTTTCAGTAATTATTGGAAAGAATTTATTTTTTACCCTCATTGTATATTGCGTAGAATATTTTGTTGTATTATAAGAATTTTAAATTCGCTTTATGATTTCAATGCTCTCAAAAAATGAATTTGTTTTAAACGAAATTTTTGTATTTTAAAAGTATTATTTTGTTTTTTTTTTACAATTTTGTGTGAGTGATATTACTTTTTTAACATAATTTTATTATTGTTTTAATGCGTATTCTAATAATTGTGATATAAAAACTATGATTCCTTTTTTTATATTTTTTTTGTATTGTTTTTTTGGCAGCTAAAATTGTGTTATATTCCTATCGTTTTAGGGTTCAATTTTGAGTGTAAATGTTTCGGAGTGTTGTTATTTTACTAAACTAGTCACATTCCAGTGATTTCATAATAAATTAACGCTTATTTACGCAGTATTATGTGTAGGCACAAATATAGACGCTATGTGATTGTGATAAGGTCGTTTGTGCAATATTTTTAGTTTTTCAAATAAAATATCTTTTTACACAAAGTCTTTTGTTTTATTTTGTGTTTTTAATATGTGATACCTTGTTGTGGACAAACTGTGTGGACAAAGATACGCATCTTCTACATTTTAACAAATGATTTCATCGCTTTGTTATGATTACCACGTAACAGGCGTGAGCCTAACGTCGTACACCGGATTCCGGATTTTAACTGAGAATTTTACAATCTTCATCTGTACTTTGGCGAACCTGGTAATCATACCCGAGGTGCTTGACTTGTTTTGCGACAAGTGTGGGAGCTGTGCTTCGGCATGAATTTGTCGGATCGACCGGAGGGTTTTTTTATGGAATAGGAGGCCAAATAGTAGTTGGATCACCTGATGGTAAGCGATCAGCGCTGCCCATGGACACCTGCAACACCAGAGGAGTCACGGGTGCATTGCCGGCCTTTTAAAAAGTAGTACCTACCCGCGTTTCTTGAAGGTTACGATGCCACGGCCTCACATAAAACCGACGTGAAACAACGACAGCGTTGTTTCATGTCGTGTGTGAGTGAGATTAACGGAGACACAATCCTTTTTCCCCTCCCCTAATCCCTAAATATCCGAAATCCTAATCCCTAAAATGCCGGCAACGCACTCGTAACTCTGCTAGTGTTGTGAACGCCCATTGCTCACCATCAGGTAATCCGTGACCTTTTTTTTCCAACCTATCACATATAAGAAAAACTTGTTGAACGAACGCACGTTACCCCGGCTCGATATCTGCCCTAGTCACTGGTAAGATACAGGCTTGCCTAGTTTGGAACCAGTGTCAAAAACTGTATGTTACTTTACTGCTAATAAAAAAAATATTTATTAGTCGAAGGGCCATCAGGCTACCACAGATGGCCATTCGGAACGCGATGCACAGTACGCTTAGCTCGGGTCTGTTTCTGGTCGGGTGGCAAGTTAACATCGCTCGCCGTCCGCAGACCCGCGCTTACGGTGGCCAAAGAACGCAGTGCGATCCCCGATGCCCTGCTGAGCGCCTGCGACTTCAAGAGTTAGAAAGATACTTTCCTCAATGCACTTAAGTAAGGAACCGACCATACACTATACCTTTTTTGTGAGGAAAAACATCAAATGACTTCTCTTGCAAGAGGGAGTGCCTTTTTTATGTAATATTTCTGCAAACTAGCAGACGGATTACCTGATGGTAAGCATTCAGCGCCGCCCATGAACACCCGGAACGGAGTAGTTGCGTTGCCGACCTTTTAGGGATTTGGAGATTTAGGGATTGGGCCTCCGTTAACCTGACTCACACAGTGAAACACAACGCTGTGGTTGTTTCACGCCGGATTTCTGTGAGGCCGTGGTATCACTCCGGTCGAGCCGACCCATTCGTGCCAAAGCTTGGCACTCCCACACTAACTGATAAAACCCCCGTTCCTTCTCAGCTCTAGGCCAAGAGCGGTGCCCTATTGCGCTTGCCCCGCCCACACATACCTACTGTTTCGTAGAAGGAGACGGCGTCCCAGTTCCATTCCCTGACTCTCCGACCTTTATTACGTCGTCCGAATTATGTCACACTGACAACAGACCAAATAGATTTCTATTCCACAAGTAAATGTGTACAAAAACAATCATTTTATAATATTTTTTGGACAAATACAACAAAATTATAGCAGTGTAAATAATAATGACTCTTATAGATGCCATTTTGAAAGCGAACACGATTGAAGGGGGGAGTCGCACCTCTCCACCGCCGGAAGCTATTAATTCTGATATTTGCAAGAAAAATACAAAAAAGTATGTGCATAAGGTAAGAAAGTTATCTGTAGCAGTTTGTGTCAGCCCTGGACTGGTCTCTACAAAGAGGAGTTTGTCGTATCAATCTGGCAAGTTTGTTGAAGATCGCTTCGTTGATTATACCATGCACATCTAAGGATTGGAATAGCTTGCCTGCAACAGTCTGCCCGTCCAGTTATGATTTAGGTATCCTCGAGGCTAGAGTGAATAGGCTCTTAATCTTACCATCAGGTATCTCACAACCCGAGCGTACGGCGCGTAGCGTTCCGCGCGCGCCTCAAAGAGCCAATAGACCACCACAGACGGGGCCCTATAAGAGCTGATGTTCAGCCGGAGTTGCGGGGTAAGCGCAATGAGGCACCGCGACCTCGGCCCAGAGCAGGAGAAGGAACAGGGGGGTTTTTAGTCAGTAAGAGTCTGACACACCCTCTCGCCAGGCCCTGGGTCGGAGAAGTCATTTGATGATTTTCCCCTCACAAAAAAAAGGTATCTCACATAATCAAAACAACGTACGTAATGTACCAAAGAATCTTTATGTGAAACTGATTTAAAAGGAGTAAGGAACCATGGAGTTTCTTGCTCGTTCTTCTCCATCGGAATCAACAATTTGGAACGAGCAAATAGCTTCACTCAGAGGACTGACCGAAAGACTGACACTTCATATCTTTAAAATTTAGTTGACGATCAAAATTGTTAATGTCCATGGGACGCGCCGGTAAAGTGCAGAGCGTGTTTTCTTGGTTGTATCTACTGTAAATCCAGGCTTGCAGAAATACAGCCGGGGTTGTGGGGTAAGCGCAATGAGGCACCGCGACCTCGGCCTAGAGCAGGAGTAGGAACAGGGGGGTTTTTTGTAAGAGTCTGACACTCCCCCCCGCCCGACCACGGGCGGGAGAAGTCGTAAGATGAGTTTCCCCTCACAAAAAAATAATAATAAAAAAGCTTACAGAAATAGCACAGCGGTTTTGGAAGGTTGTGAAACACTAAAAGTGTGGTTACAACTTTTCGTTTTAATATTTTAATTTTTTCGCAAATCCCGATAAGGGTACCTACCGTAAGTTCGCTATTTTTGTCCCTCGGTAACTAAAATTCATCCAAATTATCAAACCAATGAAAAACTAATATACGTTTGGTTCTGGATTATTATTGGTTAACGAGTTTGGACCATACTTACCCACCAGGCTAAAAGAAACCAAAAGTTACCCGGTAGTTACTTTTTGCCTGTCCCTTGAGAACCACTCGGCGCTTCCCCGGTAATAAATAAACTTTTCTAAAATTTCAGTATGCCTACGTAAAAGCTCGCGTAGACAGCTCCCCCCCTCGGTACAACGCGGTGGCAAAACTGCGAAACTTACAAAACTGGCGCCTGAGGCACGACAGACTGCGATTGGAAAACATTTATTTAGTTATTTTGATAAAGAAAATGTATTTACAGGGGGTAAGTTTATGTTTATGTAACATCATCTACAGTGGAAGACAGTTAATATATATCTAGAGAAAAAATTTGGTAATAAATGCTTACACATCTATGCTAATATTATAAAGAGGTAAAATTTGTAAGTTTGTATATAGGGGGTAATCTTTGGAACCGCTGGTCGGATTGTCAAAATTCTTTCACTGATAGATAGCTACAATGTTCCTGAGTGCTATAGGCTATAAAACATCACGCTACGATTAAATGGAGCCGAGCAGCAGGTGAAAGCGTGCGAGAATAGCTAGTTAAAATATAAGATCACCAAAACCGAATTAATAATAATAATTATTATCTTTGTGAGAAGAGGGTTTTGCCCACTAATGGGGACTTATAGGCTGATCATTTGGTAAGCTCAGTCACTCGGCTAAACATAACACGAGCGTGGTTCCATGCCGGTTTCTTTTATTTAAAATATTTTCTATGTGATAGGATGGCAATCGAACCGATCGTATCGCCCATGAAGAGCTGCAATACCACTGGAGTTTTGAGCAAGTTTTGGGAAAAATGTTCATCCCCATCACATAAATGGTTGGCAGTCAACAATTGTGCGATTTGATTATAATTTAGCCAAAATTACAATATTGCAACACGTAGAAATATGTATGAATATGCGAGTGCGAGTGACCGCTGGGACGGCCAGTGGCGGAATTGGAGCACGGCATTAACAATGGGCCTCTAGTAACCACACACGGTGGACCACAACGCCGAAGTTGTTGCACGCTGATTTTTGTTAAGACCGTGGAAACACTCCGGTTGAGTCGACCCTCTTCTATACTTGATGTACTACCATATTGCAAGAAGCCCTTCACTATAATGAAACAATGAATTTATTTTTGCAAATAGGCCATAAAACGGCACTTTTACACGTCAATTTATATGTGAAAAACTAGATGAAGCCGGGCTATAACAATAGGGTTTACTCTTCAACGAAGATAGGTTTTCAGGGCCGAGTGGACAGTCACTGGAAGAATGAACCAGTTCGTTTCATGCAGTACTATCAGAGTCGAGTCGACTTCCTAAAGAAAACGAGGAGGCAAAACCTGGCGCTGCATAAACGAATTATGAATGCGGTAAGGCATTTCCCATGATTTTTTTTTTTTTGTCAGGGTAACATCATCAAATGACTTTTTCTGAGGGAGTGTCAGACTCTTACTGACTAAAAACCCCCCCTGTTCCTTCTCCTGCTCTGTGCCGAGGTCGCGGTACCTCATTGCGCTTACCCGGCTGAACATCAGCCCTTTAGGGCCCCGTCTGTGGTGGTCTTGTTGGCTCTTTGAGGCGCGCGCGGAACGCTACGCGCCGTACACTCGGGCCTAGTTCTGGTCGGGCGGCGAGCTGCCCTTACTCGCCGACCGCAGGCCCGTGCTTACGGTGGCATTTTCCCCTGATAAAGTTTACTATTGTTGAGGCACGGGGTCGAGTAATGAATGAGAGAGGATAAAGTTCACTTTTCCATTATATTATAATAAAACACAAGTCAATTTACAAAATGCGACCGAGTCGTAGCCCGACAAGCCCGTGACTGGATTACGTCGCCAAAATGCAACTTGCAAAACATTGGTAATGTGTGGGAGAGCCAAGCTTCGGCACGAATGGGTCGGCTCGACCGGAGTGATTCCACGGCCTTACATAAAACCGGCGTGAAATAACGTTGTGTTTCGCCGTGTGAGTGAGGTTACCGGAGGCCCAAACTTTCCTCTTCCCCGATCCCTCCCCAATCGCTTAATTAACCTCCAAATCCCTAATCTCTAAAAGGTCAGCGACGCACTCTTAACTTCTCTGCTGCGGATGTCCATGGGCGGCGCTGATTGCTTACCATCAGGTAATCCGTCAGCTCGTTTGCCGACCTATTACATAAAAAAAATGTCAACCCTACACTATCAAACATTTTAATGTTATACATTTGTGTGCACTTTCATGTTTGTGTAGGAGGAGACCCAGCCCATTGTCTGTCGTCCGGAGACGGCGGGCAGTAATAATCTATAATAATATTTAACTAGTCGTTTTCCTCATCCGATGACTCTCCGTCATCCTTCTCTCATTCAGTGCCAGTGACATTTTAAATAATGGTGTTATTTTATAACTGTGGACAGCTCTAATATACCTATTTGATCTTCGTAAATTGTAACCCTACAACAAAACGATCAGATAGATCACCTGGTCGTAAGCAATCGACTGACAAGGTGACTCCATCACCTTATGCTCAATCCGCTCGTCAGCTTGGGCTGAGCACCGCCATGCCCTTAGGGAAGTGATCGGCAGCGGCGACCTCTCGCGTCCGTCCTAAGTCGAAGCAATGGTGCGGAGTGAAAGGAACTGGGAAGCCGTCTCCTCTTTCTGCGAATCAGTGATTATCGCAAAGGAGGAGGCGGAGTGTGTGAACTATCTACCTCACGCACCTGCCACAACAGTAGGCGGCACTCCAGGTGGCAGAGATCGAGCGACCTCCGGCCACTGTAAGCATGGTTTGCGGAGAGCGAGCAACGATTTAGACACGAATAAATGCTTTTGATTTGCTTTAGACAGGGCCCTAAAGGGCCGTTGTTTAGCCGGGGTTGCGGAGCAAGTGCAATAAGGTACGACAGCCTGGAACAGGAAACGGAACGGGGGTTTTTGAGTCATTAAGAGTCTGATACTCCCTCTAGCCATCATTTAGGTAAAAGAAAGCATTTAGAGGTATGAGAGAACAGGGTGGAAAGTTCCTCATCCTCCATTGAAAAGGGAGGATCTTCCGACCAGACGGGTGTTGTGTCTGGTGGGCTTCTGCCCGACTGTTCGTCGTCGAGGTCTTCTCACCGTCCCCGGCTGGGAGCGTGAGGTCGCGCGATCCAGGCCGATGCCTGTCTCGGCGGTTTCGCTCGCTGCCTGCAACAGCAGGCGAGGTCCTTGGAGTAGTCGGGCCTCTTGCTGTTGTTGTCGGGATTTTGTATCGGTTCTAATTGCGATAAGAACTCTACCGCGATGTAGAATCTTGCACGTGATTGTGCGATAGATGTCGCTAAAAATATATCTCCTCTAAAATAAAAAGGTTTTCTCATGACGTCTTTACCATGTTGAAAGCACCGATTTTCTTCCGAACATTGAAGTTTAGCACAGATGGGGCCTATTAGATGTTTTAGTCAGCAAGAGCCTGACACTCTCTATCAGTATGGGTAGAATTATAAAGTAACTTCTTGCGATCCGGGTAGGGCCACTTGATGATTTTACCCATAAAAAGATTACTTAAGACTTTTTCCTTTACCGTACGTTTTTATTTCTTTACGCTCAATTGTTTTAGGATCCGAAAATAGTACCGACAGCGGAACTGAATCGGGACTGGGCGCGCAACAGACGGAAGATAGTCGATCAGGCTGCTCGTCCCTTCCTGTTGTTTCCACCGATAATACCGGAAGAGATCGAGGACCCCGCTTTTGTGGCACCTCTGAATGTCAAGAGACCCAGGTTAGTATACCTAGTTTTAAAGAAGTATATAGGTTTTAGATTTTGACTGCACGGTTGGTGCGGTGGCTGGGCAACTGGCTGCCGTGCAACGTTCGATTCCCGCACGAAACAACTCTTTGTGTGATCCACAAGTTGTTGTTCCGGGTCTGGGTGTCATGTGTATGTGAAATTGTATGTTTGTAACCGCACCCACGTCACAGGAGAAAATCCTAAAACGTTTTTTTTTTAAATAAATAAAAAAAAAAGATTGAGAAAATATTTGTCTCATAATCTAGGTGTAATTATTCTAAGGAAAGAGTACGCTTACGCTCCTTTCTTCAAGTTTGAAGGTCGTATTGGTTTGGAAATTACCGCTGCCCAAAAATCTTTCCAAAACTTTGCTGTGTGAGGCAAGGAGCTTCGCGAAAATCGCACAGCATCATTATTATCATAGCAGTCATAAAAAGCTCACCAGCAGCAAGCTGTCATTATCAGGTCCTAACATTCTGATAATTTATTCGCAGAGTATATATAACACTGGGTATAAAAGATGGTGCGGAGATTGGGGAAATATGTGTGGAGCTCTTCACTGATACCTGTCCTAAAACCTGCAATCTGTTTCTGGAGTTGCTGGATGGAGATGCACACGGATATGGGTACATCAACACCTGCTTTTACAGGTAATCTTGAATACATTACCTAGCTTAGCATAGAAAAACTGTATCACTACATGGTATAAAACAAAGTCGCATTTTGGTCCCTACATCTCTATTTACGCTTAAAGCTTTAAAACTACGCAACGGATTTTGATGGTGTTTTTTTGATATACAAAGAAAAGGTAGGTCGTATGTAAAATAAAATCCATAAAAGAGTGGAGAAATTTAGTTTTAAGCGCATTCGTGTGAAGCTGGGGCGGCTAGTTAAGAAATAAATATTTAAATTTAGACTTAAACCTCTTTTCATAACCCATAAACACTACAAAAAAAGAAACGCACGTGTGTCTATAATTATAGGACGAATGTCAACATCTGTCAAAACTCGGAAAATATGACGAAATTATGCTCAAACTCATTTTATGTCTCGCAACGTTTTTCAGCAGCATAATCCTGTTCCTGCTATTGATTTCTATGAAGCTGATAGATTTCTCACAGGTAGTAGAGGAGTTCAAGGCCACGCATTAAACAATGTTGGTCTCCGACACCGGCGTGGCTGGGGGCAATGAGATCTTCATCAAAGTCGTCAGCCCAGAGGGACAGACGTTCACCGCTTACTTCTCCGAAGACACTCTTATCGAGGAGGTTAAGAACAGAGCGATAGATTTCTTCTACCCGACTGGTGAGACAGGAGCAGGTCGGTTCAAAATCGTCAGAGTATTCGACACGACGACTTTACACGACTTCCTGACGTTAGCTCAAGAATCTGTCATGATGCAGGAAGAACTACTGCTCGTTGAGAGACGACTACCAGAAGCTGGTACGCTGTGGGACCTTGGCACAGTCAGAGCTCCCCAGCACGGCACTATAGCCGCCGCTACAGCATCCCTACCGACCCCCACAAACGCCATGCGCCAACCAAACCTCCAATCTTTACTTTCAACGAATGAGCTGTCCCATGAACTGCGAAAAATACTTATATCTTTGATCGAAGCTGGAGCTCGACTGGCTGCGTCGGGGAGAAACTATGAAATGACTCTTGCACAACTAACCGCGGCTTTAGAGGAACCGAGGAGGGCTCAACCAGCTGTCATCCAAGTGATAACTCCTGAGGAGATTGCCGCACGACTAAATTTAAATGACGATATGCAAAATGTCCTTGAAGACCCTCCACAGGCAAATAAAGCTGACGGGAACGACATGTACCGGCGCGCAGAGCACTTGCAACGATTCTTGGAGAAATTCCGCGAATGGCGTAACAAAATCGCTGAACCGCCGAACCCCGAAGCTATAGCTGCTCTCAAAGACCTTGGTTTTTCTCACGAAGAGTCTGATAAGGCTCTGAGGAACACGGGTTGCAACGTTCCAGCGGCAGCTTCATACCTAATCGGAGAGCGTGGCTCGAGTATTTTCGAGCTCGTAAATGGTCTACCGGATGGTCTAATACTACAGACGTTGCTAAAACAGCCTCATATACAACGTGGTCTACTAAATACAAGAATGCTTATTGCTTTCATAGCTATGGTTGGTCAGACCGGGAGTGCTTCACTATGGCTGAACTCCCCTCATGGAAGCCCGTTACTCTCTCAGATTTCAAGGACGTATCACTCAGAAAAGTACTGCCTGGCCGTCAACCAGTTTTCTGAGGAACGGCGGGAGAATGCCAACAGGCCTTCTACGTCGCGACAGAGGAATTAATAAGACTTTTTTGAATGATTTTTACTGACAGTTTTTCTAATAAATTTTGTTTTTTTTAATATCTTGTGTTCTTCTTTGTTTTCTTGAAAAGCGCCGATCAAGACATGTTATTAGTAGGTATGCTATTATTTTTTTATTACGAAAAATAACGTCCCCATACACATCACACCCACACCCGGAACAAAAATTTGTAGACCACACAATAATTTGTTTCGTGCGGGACTCGAAACCGCAGCAAGCAGCGTGGCAGCCAGCTGCCCTGCCACCGCGCCAACCGTACAGTCACTACGCTACGACGTCACAACTTACTGTTTGATACAAAACTATTACCACCAACCCAGTAACAAAGAACCAAACAAACTCCCCTTTTTTGTGAAGGAAAATCATCCAATGATTTTTTCGCCCAGGTTAAGGCGAGAGAGAGTGTCAGACTCTGACTGTCTAAAAACCCGCCGTTCTTACTCCTGCTTTAGGTCGAGGCCGTTATTGTGCTGGCCCCACAAAGTATTATCTATAAAACCTACGATTTTTTCGCCCAGGGTAAGGCGAGAGGGAGTGTCAGACTCTTACCGAGTAAAAATCTGCTGTTCTTACTCCTGCTTTAGGTCGAGGCCGCGGTACGTTGTTGCGTTAGCCGCGGAAAGTAATATAACACCTAGATACCTAATAATTTGCCATGTTCTTGCTTATAAGACAATGTATATATCTTGCAGAAAAGTCCCCAAGTTGTACTGGAGCGGTGGTGACGTGATATATAACAATGGATGTGGTTGCTACGCCCAGCGCGGCCGCGCCGTACCTATCGGGGCTGAGAACTATCACTATCCGCATTCTATGGCTGGTAATCTCTTCTCAAAGATTCTATGAACTTTCCTATCCTCAAAAGACGAATCCCCCTCTAACGTCGATCCTGAGACCAGTGACGTGGCACGTCACCCTAAAATGGTTTTTTTATGTGATGCGTCAGCAAACAAGTTGATGGATTTCTTGGAATACTAGAGGGATTAGGGTTGCGGCAATTTAGTGATTGGGGAGCGGTGAACGATTCGGATTAGACCCGATGGGACATTTTAACCTTCAAGAAATGGGCGTACTCCTTTTTAGAAAGCCAACAATGCACCTATTACTCCTTGGTGTCCATGGGCAGCGCTGATCACTTGCCATCAGATGATCCATCTGCTCGTTTGCCTCCTATTCCGTAAAAATTAGGGTTCCGGCTAACCTTATTACATGCAACGCAGTGGTTGTTTCACTCCGATTTTCTGTGAGGCCCTGGTATTGCTCCAGTGGAGCCGGCCTATTCGAGCTGAAGTACGGCTCTTCCACACTTGTTATTGCAGGTCTGCTGTCCATGCGCGTGACGGTGGATGACGAGATGTGCGGCATGTTCAACATCACCTACAAACCGTTGCCGCAGCTCGATCTCCGCAACGTGGTTTTTGGAAGAGTGAGTGTCTGTTAATGTTACATTACACCTTTTAAACCCTGATAGAGTATTAAGAAGGCAGGGGTGGTTTTCCTATGTGTAGGAGAATATTCCAAAACCAATTTCTTTCAAGAAGGAAACCAGCATCAGACTTACATGGGCAATTTTTTTAATCATAATAATATAGTGCTTAACTGCAATGGCATCTGTGGACGGGAAGACCGTTGCAGGCAAGCTATTTCAATCCTTCGTCTTATCGACTAATATACCTCAGTGCCTCAAGCTGAAACTCTATTATCACTGTGCCAATGACAGTCTATGGAACGTGTTTACTCGCTTTGGGCTTTAAAAGAAAGCTCAAGGTCACTAAGCGCGCTATAGAAGGGCTGTGCTTAATGTGTCTTTGTAGGATCGAATTCTGGGAGAAACCGCACCGGATTCGCTAGTCTTATAATATAAAAATTAATCGCAAAATGTGTTCGTAAGCGCATAACTCAAAAACGGCTGGACCAATTTTGCCAAATCCTTTTTTTTTGTATTAATATTGACAGGAGAAGGTTCTTAGGAAAGAAAATATTAGAAAAGTAGAGGGAAAATTGAGGGAAAGGGGGGAAAGGGTTTTATTGTTAGCGAGATAGTTGGACCCGTGCGAAGCGGGGGTGGGCCGCTAGTTTTCAATAGATTTAGTACGTCTTTCGACTTCTCGATGTCGAAAATCAATTACCACCATGCACATGAAACTTTATCAAGCTTAATCTACTGCTGAATAATAACTGTGTAAGAATATCTGTTATTATTTGACACTTTTTAGAGGTATGAGGAACTGAGTGGATAGTTCCTCATCCTCCATTGAAAAGGGAGGATCCTCCGACCAGTCGAGGTGTTCGTGCCTGGTGGGCTACTGCCCGACGGTTGTTGTCGGGATATCTGTATGGGTGCTTATTGTGTTGAAAACTCTTATAGCGCGATATAGAATCTTGCACGTGATTGGTGCTGTTGTTAATGTAATGCGCTAGATGTCGCTACAACTTCATACATGAGAGGAAGCGTCATCTATACTAACGTTCGTTCTTTGTTAGTTTGAACACGCTAATCTCCTAAAATTGGGTCGAATTGAACAAAACTTCTCATGTTGGATAACTCATTTGTCGAGGAAGGCTAAAAACATTATCATAGCGAGTGAAACCACGCGGGACTCGGGAGTAGCTAATTTCAATTATGTCTTTCAAAGGTGGGAGAGTCATGCTTCGGCACGAATGGGTCGGCTCGACCGGAGTGATACCACGGCCTCACAGAAAATCGGCGTGAAACAACCACAGCGTTGTGTTTCGCCGTGTGAGTGAGGTTACCGGAAGCCCAATCGTTCCCCTCCCCCGATCCCTCCCCAATCGCTTAATCTCCAAAACCCTAATCCCTAAGAGGTCGGTAACGCACTCGTAACTCCTCCGTTGTGGGTGTCCATGGGCGGCGCTGATTGCTTACCATTAGGTAATCCGTCTGCTCGTTTGCCGATCTACTACATAAAAAAAAAATGTCTCACGATACCACTTCTCAATAAAGTTGAAAATCTATCACAAAAAACGTTTACACATTTTGGTATACGTTTACATGCGAGTTTACGTTTATCTTTTGTTTTTTAAGGTGGTGCGTCCAAGTAGCACTTACACCATCATAAGTAAGTTAGGGAACGCACTGAACTCACGACCCATCGTTGAGATAATCTCATCGAGGCGCAAGGAGTCTGGTCGCTGGATCCACGGTCAACCAAACACACGCATAACCAACAAAGCGCAGGGTAACTTGAAGAAAACGCTTTTGTCTTGAACTCCATTCTGATGTTTTATTATGAAGATTATTTATTGTGAATGTAACGTTGTCTTGTGTTTGAAATAAACGTATTTTAATAAGACTGGTGTTTTTCAATCTATATACTAAGTTGTTCATACGTATATATTGTGACGGAAAAGTGGTTCAAACTCTTTGACATCACGACGTCAATGGATGGTTGTCAAACGTTGCCTAGAGATTGTAAATTTCGTCGTGAATTGTCAACACGAGTTGGTGTAATCGTTAAGGCGTGTGGATTACACCACAGTGACCTCGAGTTCGAGTCCCGCCGTAAACATGAAGTTTTTTTAGTTGATAGAAGTTTTGTCGAACTTTCTGGAATTATTTGTGTGAAAGAAATGAAAAATTAAAGAGTGAGAAGGAGAATAAATAAAAATGAATAACGAAATTATTGGAAGGTTCTGGAGGCATGACGATCAAAAAGAATAACGAAATTGAATGTTCCAGAACCTGACCGGGGGTATATAAGCAGAACTGCGGCTCACCGCTGGCAGTTGAGTTCTAAGTCTAAAGCGATTCGGAAGAAAAGGAAGAAGTGAAAAAGAAGAAAAGTGAGTGAAATAGCGAAGTGCAGTGAAATAGTGAAGTGCAGTCAGTTAAGTGAGTTAAGTCAGCGTGAACGGCAAAGTTGTGTCAGTCGGCCGGACTCTGCTGTTAAGTGCAATAGAAAGTCTGAAAACCGGTATTAGTGTTTCATTTCACCCAATCCCGTAACCCAAGCCCGCATAGTCAGGAACGTGACGTCAGGCACGTAACATTTGGTGTCAGAAGTGGGATTGGAGAAAAATGCCGCTAGTGCCGCAGGACGTAAGAGGAGTGAGTACCCGTGCAATGTCAGAAGCGCAGCGTGTGAGGGAAGAGGGTGCTGCAGCTCAAACCAGCTATGCAGAAGCCAAGCCTGTGCAGGTGGATCTTCTGCTACAGCTGCAGCAAATGATGGCAGAGCAAGCGCGCCGCCAAGAAGAGCAAGCGCGCTGTCAGGCAGAACAGCTGCGGGAGCTGAAAGAAGAGCAAGCGCGCCGCCAAGAAGAGCAAGCGCGCCGCCAAGAAGAGCAAGCGCGCCGCCAAGAAGAGCAAGCACACTGTCAGGCGGAACAGCTACGGGAGCTGAAAGAAGATCAAGCTCGTCGCCAAGAGGATCAAGCTCGCCGCCAAGAGGAGCAAGCGCGTCGCTTGGAAGAGATGCATAAGGATTTCACGAAGGGACTGCAAAAGGCTGTCGAACGGGTACAAGAAGTGGAGGAAGGGTTAGGCAAGTTGGAACATCGCGTCATGGCGATAGAGGAGAGAGTGAAAGAAGAGATCTCCAAAATCAAGCAGGAAGTGACAAGCCCAAGCCCTTTGAAGAGCCGAAGCCGTCTTGCAGCCGTTTTTGACGCCCCAAATGTGGCCTCAAGCGCAACGCAAGGGCTCAAGATTCCCCATTACGACGGAACAACATCCTGGAACGCGTTCAAGCTACAGTTTGAGACACTTATGGAGGCTTATGGTTGGACTCAGAAGGAAGCACAGTCAGCCCTCACCCTGGCCCTCCGTGATCAAGCGCTCTCAGTTCTGGAAGCTATCGGCGCAAGTGGGGATCTCAGCTTTAGTGCCCTCCTCGACGCACTTGAGGCACGTTTTGGAGACAGCCACCTCGAACACGTGTACAGAGCGCAATTAAAAGAGCGTACTCAGCGTGCTAATGAGAGTCTACAGCAATGGTCCGTGGAAATCGAGAAACTTGTGCGTCGAGCTTTCCGGTCGACTCCGTCAATGATTGAAGGCACGCTTCTCCAAGCGTTCATTGACGGTATTCGGGACCCCGAAGTACGAGCTGCTGTTCATCTGGGCCATCACAAGAACATGAAAGAAGCTCTGGCCCATGCATTGGAAGTGGAAGCCGTGCGTGGCAACTCCCGTACCTCACGTCTGCGGGAAATGACGACAACGGAGCAGGTACCTCCACGCCGTCGGAACTTCATGTGCTATGGATGTGGAGAGCGTGGGCACATACGGTGCGACTGCCCGAAGAAGATGAACCGCCAGGACGCGGCGGTCTCAACTTCTGACCAGCAGGGAAACTTAAATCCAGCCAGGGCTGCGGGGTGGGCGCTGGCTGGTAGTGGAACAACCTCAACAATCTACATCAAGCAAACCAACGATGGAAATACTCTGGTGATAGACGGTCAAGTAAATGGGAAAAACAGTCAGCTAACATTAGATACTGGAGCTTCAAGGACGGTGATAAATGTTCGGCTGCTCGAGCAAAACATCAGGAAACACCTTAAACCAATTGTTGGCCTACAAATGAAATCAGCTACCGGCCAGTGCATACCGATAAGCGGAAAACTGCATGTAAAAATCAAAATTGGGGAACGTGTTTATCCACATGAGGTTATTGTGGCCAAAATTCTGGATGACTGTATCCTGGGACTTGACTTCCTGCAAGGGCACCAGTGTAACATCGACTTAAAATCTGGAGTTTTACTATGTGGAACTGAGGAAATTCCGATGAAGGGTGGAACCCTGGGAAAAGTTTGCTGTTTAAGAAGAACTGTTCTTGCACCAAAATCACAGACTCTCGTACCAATCGCATTACCTAGGAGGAAGGAAGGAAGTTTACCTCGAAGGTGCGCTGTGATTGATAAATCGGAACACGTAAGCTCATGGCTACCGGCAAGAACTGTCGTGGGGTCATCTGATGTCAACCGCATTCCGGTATTCAACTTCAGTGATTCAAAAATTACGATTGAAGAAGGAGAGCCTGTGGGCATATTGGAAGAAGTGGCCTGGATAAGAAAATGCTCGGAGAATCTTGTGAAGAAGGACAGTACGGGAATTGACTTTGTAACGAAAATCTTAGATGAAAACAAAAGTCTGACAAAAGTGGAGACTATGAAAGCTAGAAATTTACTTCTTCGATTCTCTGATGTGTTTTCAAGAAGCGATGGTGATATTGGCCGAACTGGTTTGGTGAAGCATAAAATAAACACAGGTGATACAATGCCAATTCGTCAAAGGCCCAGACGCATACCATTCGCTCGTGAGAAAGAGGTTGAAGAAATGATTGACGATATGAGGAAAAATGACGTGATAGAGCCCTCTTCTAGCCCTTGGTGTTCACCTGTCGTGCTTGTCAAGAAGAAAGATGGTTCAACGAGGTTTTGCGTAGACTATCGACGATTGAATGATGTAACCAAGAAGGATAGCTACCCGTTACCAAGAATCGATGACACACTTGACACACTGAGTGGCATGAAATGGTTTTCAACGCTCGATCTGAAAAGCGGCTATTGGCAGGTGGATTTGGATCCCAAGGACAAGGAAAAGACCGCATTCTCAACTGGGAAGGGACTCTGGCAATTTAAGGTGATGCCATTTGGATTATGCAATGCACCGGCAACCTTTGAGCGTTTGATGGAACAGGTGCTGGCGGGACTGCTGGGCGAAACCTGCCTAGTTTACCTCGATGACATCATCATTGTTGGACGGGATTTTGACGATCATCTAAGGAAATTGGAAAAGGTACTCGGCAAGCTGCGTGGAGCAAATTTAAAGTTGAGTCCAAAGAAATGCTCTTTCTTCAAGCGCGAAGTGAATTATCTAGGACATGTTATTTCTGAGAGAGGAATTGAGACTGATCCAGCCAAGACTGTCGCTGTTAAGGAATGGCCAACACCTAAAGACAAAACGCAAGTTCGGGCATTTCTTGGATTGTGCTCGTATTATCGGCGGTTTGTGAAAGGATTCTCGGACATTGCCAAGCCTTTGCATCGATTGAGAGAGGAGAAACGTGCCTTTATCTGGGACGAGGATTGTGAGCAAGCCTTTCGAGAACTAAAAGAACGGCTCTGTAACACACCAATTCTCGGATACCCCAGCGCGAAAGGAATATTCGTAGTTGATACGGATGCCAGCAATATTGGAATAGGAGGTGTCCTTTCACAACGCGATGGTGAGCAGGAGAAGGTTATTGCTTACTTCAGCAAGTCACTATCCAAGCCGGAGAGGAATTATTGCGTGACCAGGAGGGAATTGCTGGCCGTAGTCAAAACTCTGCACCATTTCAAGAAGTATTTACTGGGACGGAAATTTTTGATCAGAACTGATCACGCTGCTTTGAAATGGCTGCTTCAGTTTAAGGATCCCGAAGGCCAAGTAGCCAGATGGTTGGAACAACTTCAGGAATTTGACTTTGAAATCGAACATCGCGGCGGAAGAATTCATGGCAACGCAGATGCATTATCGAGACGTGACGTGAGATGCGTGGAAGATTGCAAGCATTGTGCCAAGAAGGAAACTGCTTTTCTTAAGGTGATAAGGACTGATACTGTTGACGAGGCATGGGGAGATGATGCGATGAAATTAGAACAGGAAAGAGATGCAGATATTAAACCAATACTGGACTGGCTACGAAGTGGTAACAAGCCAAGTTGGAGTGACGTCGCCCAATATAGCGCGGTAACGAAAGGTTTATGGGCACAGTGGAAAAGCCTTACGCTGCATAACGGACTTCTGTGCAGGAAATGGGAATCAACAAACGGCAAGGACGAGCATTTGCAATTGGTGGTGCCTCGTTCAAAAATAAGGGATGTATTAAAAGCGTTCCATGATGGATCTTCTGGAGGACATTTGGGAATTAGGAGGACTCTGGTGAAGATCAAGGAGAGGTTTTATTGGTTGCATTGCAAATATGACGTCGAAGATTGGTGCCGGAAATGCACTAGTTGTGCAGCTGTCAAGGGTCCACAAACAAGAAGCAGAGGGGCGATGAAAATCTACAATGTTGGAATGCCTTGGGAGAGAATAGCCTTAGACATCGCTGGACCATTTCCAATCACTGATTCGGGCAATCGCTACGTTTTAGTGGTTATGGATTATTTTACAAAATGGCCGGAGGTCTTTGCCATACCGAATCAAGAGGCAGTAACTGTAGCCACGAAGTTGGTAAACGAGGTATTCACCCGATTCGGAGTGCCCTTGGAGATGCACAGTGATCAAGGACGGAACTTTGAATCCCAAGTTTTTCAGGAAACTTGTAAACTTTTGGGAATCCATAAGACTCGAACGACCCCTTATCATCCACAGTCAGATGGAATGGTCGAACGCTTCAACCAAACATTGGAGCGACACTTAGCAAAGGTGGTTGACAGCCATCAGAGAGATTGGGACACTTACATACCTCTCTTCTTGCTTGCCTATCGGACTGCTGTACATGAAAGTACCGCAAAGACGCCTGCATTTGCAAATTTTGGAAGGGAATTGAGATTACCGGCAGATCTTGTATCGGGCTGTCCACCTGGCGACTCTCGCACTGAGTTTAGCGATTACATAAGCGAGTTAAGGGCAAAAATGTTGGACATTTATGAGCAGATCAGGGAGGCCGGTCTTCAAGCTAGTGATCGCGCAAAGACGCGCTATGATCGACGAGCCAATTCTGTTGGGTTTGAAGAGGGGTCATTGGTCTGGCTTCATAATCCAGTCAGAAGGAAGGGAAAATCTCCGAAGCTGCAACCGAGTTGGGAAGGTCCTTATGAGATAGTCACGAAGATCAATGACATTACTTACAGAATTCGGAAGACTTCAAGGAGCCTTTTGAAAGTTGTCCATATAGACAGGTTGGCGAGGTATTACGGCAGCAACGATGCTCGGGACGAGCGAATCTAAGAGGGGGGCAGTGTGACGGAAAAGTGGTTCAAACTCTTTGACATCATGACGTCAATGGATGGTTGTCAAACGTTGCCTAGAGATTGTAAATTTCGTCGTGAATTGTCAACACGAGTTGGTGTAATCGTTAAGGCGTGTGGATTACACCACAGAGACCTCGAGTTCGAGTCCCGCCGTAAACATGAAGTTTTTTAGTTGATAGAAGTTTTGTCGAACTTTCTGGAATTATTTGTGTGAAAGAAATGAAAAATTAAAGAGTGAGAAGGAGAATAAATAAAAATGAATAACGAAATTATTGGAAGGTTCTGGAGGCATGACGATCAAAAAGAATAACGAAATTGAATGTTCCAGAACCTGACCGGGGGTATATAAGCAGAACTGCGGCTCACCGCTGGCAGTTGAGTTCTAAGTCTAAAGCGATTCGGAAGAAAAGGAAGAAGTGAAAAAGAAGAAAAGTGAGTGAAATAGCGAAGTGCAGTGAAATAGTGAAGTGCAGTCAGTTAAGTGAGTTAAGTCAGCGTGAACGGCAAAGTTGTGTCAGTCGGCCGGACTCTGCTGTTAAGTGCAATAGAAAGTCTGAAAACCGGTATTAGTGTTTCATTTCACCCAATCCCGTAACCCAAGCCCGCATAGTCAGGAACGTGACGTCAGGCACGTAACAATATATAAAAATAACTGTGAAAACTATTTCTTTCTATTTTCTTCTCCTCAAATAATATGTCCTCCGGTGTTTTCATGGTTTTATCTACAGTAGATCATGGCTTACAGAAGTTGCAGCGATTTTGGAAGGTCTTGGGGGGGGGGGGGGGGGTATCCCAGTCACCCAGGGAAAAAAGGCACAAATAATTTTCACACACTTCCTCATAAAGTGTCACACAATCCCAAATCAAGCACGTAATAACACCTATCAAACTGTGACTTTTCATTACTATTATTATCATACTAGTGAGTAATAGAGTTTCTTTTAAATTATCTTACACTTGCGCTAAAATGCTATCCGTGCGAAGCCAAAAAAAGAAGGAAAATTTTTTAGTCTATGGCCGATGCGGGCGCATAACACCAAAACTGATATTTTTTCCCGCCATTACGAAACGTTTTTGACAACTCATCTCGTTTTCTCTTTTGAAGTTTTTTAGTATGAGAATTTATGTTAAAAAGGATTAGATCCAATTACATTAAGAACAAAAATCAATAAAAAATAAATAGATACATCCATAAGTTCCTCTCGCAGTACCTCACGCACTCTAATAAAATTTCCTTCCATCCATCTGCAAACAAATCAATGGTTGGATTGGATTCCTGAAGATCATTAAGCGAGACTAGCGAGAAATTGGTGGCTTAGCACCTGCGACAGTTCGACATTGGGGTACAGCAAGCACCCTGTGCTTTTTACGTCGCCAGTAGTTGATTAGGAAAAGCGTGCTAACGCCTCCAGGAGATCTGGAGCATCTATGGCGCCTCGAAGCGTCTTACAGGCCACCACGCGTTGGGTTCTTGTTCGCCTAACGTGTATAAATGAATGAATGAAAAATGAATGAATGAATGACTGACTGAATGAAAACTTTATTACTTTTATTTTAGTAACGAATTGTATGCATAGCAACCTAATAAGAACTTTGTATTATTTTATTTCGAAGTGAGTTGAAAATCGTCGTATATGACGCACATGTGTATTGATGATTTGCGCTTCTGCGGTACACACTTGTACCATTATGCACTATAACTCTACTTTGACAAAATAAAACACATATAAAAATGACAATAACAATATAATCATTCATCAAAAATAACTAAACAGTTTCATACAAACACATTAGCACACATATTATAATACTAAACTTAATTTTTCATGAGAGAGGAAGGGATGCGTCCTTAGATACACTTTGATTATTTCTAAGAATGTAGGTATACTCTAAGCGGGTTATGGAGAGGCTCGATGGCAGTCGGTTCATGAAAAATACTGGAACAGACTGTCCATACCTCCCCCCTCCCCCCACCCGCCTCTACAAGATGTTAAAACACATACAACACAATGGCTTCAGTACTTGCATCGTAACTGACAATTAAAATGCGTCCATCAGGGGCCCGAGTCTACCATTTTCAAAGTGTTGTCATTCCTACACGATTCCATTGTCATTTTGCTAAATGTTCGCAATCTGTTAATTCAAAATGGCTAATCATTGGCGTTTGGCAATGTCGTAATAGAATTATAGTACGAGATGTCTTGTAACGAATTATAAACAATAACTGCACATTAATATTCTAAACGTAAATCATTGAATAAAGGAACTGACATTTTTTATTAATTTACCGCATTATCTCAAATATTCATTTGTCATTATTTACGAGATTACCGTTCTAAAGAATTATTTCAATGAATTGGCATTGGAAAATCATAATGAGGCTATCGTGTTAGTAGATTACCAAACTTGTCAAATCAACAATTTTGAAACCAATAATCTACTATTCTGACACTATTGTAATAGCAGACTCGAGGCCCTGTTCGTTTAGTACATTATTAAACTTTATTTCCTCGAACAGAATTTTTGATATCTTGCATACATATAATTGGAAGTTTATAGAGAGAGATATTGGCTAATTCACACGGACAAAGACACGGGTTACAGCTAAACAAGTTCTGGTAAAATATGTCCAGAGCAAGAATATCGCTTTTGTGAGAACAATTTGTTGAAGATATCACTGATATGCAGCATCCGCTACGCTAATAAGAGATCGTCGTCCCGCGTCTTGTGTTTCAAATATCGGAATATTCGCCTGAAATTAAAAACAAACATTTTTAATTAGAAAATGAACACAATTCAATTCAAGAAAGTAAACCAAGAAATGTTTCATTATTTTTTGTATATTTTAAGTATTTGAAACTGTAAAAATGTCATATCATTACGCCTTTCAATTTTTTATCGGTTTCTGACACAACAATGAAAACATCTTTAAAATAAGTAATATAAGTATATATAATATAGTGTAAGTAAACATCTTTAAGTGTGGGAGAGCCATGCTTCGGCACGAATGGGTCGGCTCGACCGGAGTGATACCACGGCCTCACAGAAAACCGGCGTGAAATAGCCACAGCGTTTAGTTTCGCCGTGTGAGTGAGGTTACCGGAGGCCCAAACCTTCCCCTCCCTCAATCCCTAAATCTCCAAATCCCTAATCCCTAAAAGGTCGGCAACACACTCGTAACTCCTCCGTTGCGAGTGTCCATGGGTGGCGCTGATTGCTTAACATTAGGTAATCCGTCTGCTCGTTTGTCGACCTATTACATAAAAAAAAATCATTTACATTAAATAGGCACCGGAACATAACATAATCTGGTGAACATTACTATATGCTACGGGAGTGTAATCGCGGGACACAGCTAGTTTTGGATGTAAGGAATCAAACAATTAAAGAATTTCTCTAAATATTATCAATGTAATTGTTTTCTTAAAGTATTATATATAAAGTATAAAATTCCACAGATAACATTTATCAGACTATTGAAAAATCAGACCTAACTAAGTAAAAAAAGTTTCCCATGAACCAGATTTTTTTTTGTCGTTAACAGTCAATCATACAGTATGTTAGGTTAAATGAGTTACATACTGAAGGAGCCGATTTGATTTTGGTGCTCAATAAACAACAACTTTTACCATGGAACCAATATCCAAATCTAATAAAATAATTTATTTTCCCAAACACATCGAAACTACAGGTTGATCACATTACGCGGCGAAGTAAAATTTTTTTGAGATTTCCATACTAGTGGCAAGTACCAATGTGACTTCTTCCGAGTTATATACTTTCTATGATTATTTAGACACCACTGACATACGGTGAAGGAAAACATAATTGTAAGTTTGAAATCGAAAATCCGCCTTGAGCAAGCGTGGTGATTAATGCTCAAACCTTCTCCGTGTAAGAAGAGGCCTTTGCTCAGCAGTGGGCACTTATAGGCTGATGATGTATATTGGAAAAAGTTGTTTTATTTGAGTACCAGAATCGGGTCCCTGAATATGTTCCTCATTTAACGTTACACGGACGACGAAAACCACAATCAGTAAAAATGAAAGTACTTTTTTTAAATGTTGGACTACTCTAGGATCAAGCGGGGGGTAAGCGCAATGAGGCACCGCGGCCTCGGCCCTGAGCAGGAGAAGGAACGGGGGGTTTTAGTCAGTAAGAGTCTGACACTTCCTCCCGCCCGACCCTGGGGAGCCATTTGATGATTTTCCTCTGACAAAAAAAAGCACTAAAATTTTCTCCTGTGTCGTGGGTGCGTTTACCAACCAACATACAATTTCATATAGGTACATCACACCCAGACCCGGAACAACAATTTGTGGATCACACAAAGAATTGTTCCGTGCGGGTATCGAACCGTGCAGTCTAAGTTTACGTACCAGATAGTCCTGGGCGCGTGTCCCCAATCCCTGGGCGTGTTCGCAAGCACTCGGCGCACTTCGTGCTCGTGCACGCTGACGTCCGACACGACGCGCGCCACGCGCACGTTGCACGCGCGCGGCCACGGCGCCGTCCGCGCGTCCTCCGCCACTAACTCAACGCGCATCGACACCTCCCATACAGAACGCAGGGGAATATTGGCCACCTGTTTAACGTACTCAAATTACTAATATTATAATAAATGCGAAAGTTACAATATTTGGATGTTTGTTACTCAACCACACCAAAACGGATCTGGATGAAATTTGACACAGGCATAAGATACTTATCAACATACCACGGGGGCGAAGTCGCATACGGAAGCTAGTATTTGAATATTGACCAAGAATCCTTGGCACGAATCAAGCACGCTCGCAGAAAACCGGCGCGAAACAACCACAGCGTTGTGTTTCGCCGTGTGAGTGAGACTACCGGAGGCCCAATGCTTCCCCTCCCCCTATCACTCCCCAATCCTTAATTTTTCTATGGCATTGTAGGCAAACGAGCAGACGGATCACCTGATGGTAAGCGATCGGCGCCGCTCATGGACACCTGCAACACCAGAGGAGTCACAGGTACGTTGCCGTCATTTTAAGAAGGAGTACGCTCGTTTCTTGAAGGTTTGAAGGTCGTATCGGTTCGGGAATACCGCAGCCGGAAGATCATTCCAAAGTTTAGCTGTACGGGGCAAATCTCCAAATCACTAATTCCCAAAAGGTGGGCAACGCACTCGGTGGGTTGCGCTGATTGCTTACCATCAGGTAATCCGTCTGCAAATTGGCCGGCATATAACACAAAAAACCTACCTTCAAAGTCAAATATCCATCGTTGTCCAACGTATAAGCTAGATGCAACTTGGCGTCATGCATAGCGCGTCCCCAGCGCAGAGCGACGCGAGCGACGGCGGCGCAGCGACGCAACAACGGCGGGATATCTGACGCCACGCAACTCGGGCCGCGACATGCGCGCGACACCATGTAACGCATCGTCTCGCAAGCGAAACGGACACACAGAGTTGCTACTGGGTTCTTCTTGTCTGTAAGACCAAATTGAAACAACTTAACGTTTATGAAGGACGGATATGAAGGCGCCTTTTAACTCCCTGAATTTATCTGTAAAAATTCATCATTAGGAAATGGTGTTCTGATGGCTTTTTGAGGCACACGCCTCACAATGCCAGTGCGGGGTTGGTTCTGGTCAGGTCGCAGGGCCGAGGTTACAGTAGCCGAAAATCGTCCAGCAATTTTCAACGCCCGGAGTGTATCCGGTGCGACTGGGCTGTAATGAACAACCTTACCTTCTGACGGGGCCCCCACCACAGACGGGGCCCCTAAAGGGCTGATGTTCAGCCGGGGTTGCGGGGTAAGCGCAATGAGGCACTGCGACCTCGGCACAGAGCAGGAGAAAGAACAGGGGGGTTTTTAGTCAGTAAGAGTCTGACACTCCCTCCTGCCCGGCCCTGGGCGGGAGAAGTCATTTGATGATTTTCCCCTCACAAAAAAAAACCTTACCTTCTTTGCAAATATGACTGTTTCGCAGACGGAGGAGACTGCTTCCTAGTTCCTCTCACTACGAACCATGGCCTGGATCGCGAGAAACGCTAAACTAACAATTTCTAACTATAAGTTTGAAGTGGTGAATAATGCCCATTCCATCTCCGTGCGAGAAGAGACCTTTATCCAAAAAGAACTGTGACGTGCTAATTATACTGAAACCAACTTACCCTGCTGCACAGTTTCCACATTTATATCCAGCACTGGCGTGTCTCCCCGTACCCTCGTCCTGGCAGAGTTGTCCAGTCGGTGCGCCAGTCGAGCGGTCAAGCGGAGCCGGCCGTGTAGGAGGCGGAATGACCAGGTATCAGCTGATGACGACTCCCATTCGCATTCGTGACTCCTGGTGGAATAATTAAATTGTAGCAAACTAGCGTTTGCCAAAGTCTTTGCAAACAGTACCGGGATAAAAATTTACTTAGCATATATCATTTAAGTGTGGAAGAGCCATGCTTCGGCACGAATGGGTCGGCTCGACCGGAATGATAACACAGCCTCATAGAATACCGGCGTGAAAAAACCACAGCGTTGTATTTCGCCCTATTCTTCCCCTTCCCCGATCCCTAAATATCCCAATCCCTAATCCCCAAAAGGTCAGCAACGCACTCGTAAGTCCTCTGTTGTTGCTGGTGTCCACGGACGGTGATGATTGCTTGCCATCAGGTAATCCGGCGGGGATTAAACCAAACAATTCCTCGGAGCACTCCTCGTGGTATAGGCGATATAGTATACATAGCACGGGTACATCCCAGGCAGCCAAACATTCTAAAAGTAGACCGTTCACACTCACTACAATGAATTAAACTATTATAAAGTCAAAGCAAACTTACCCCATAAACGGCAGCATATCGATCTTAGCCACAACATTGACTCCGGAATCCGTTTCACTCAAATTAGAACTAACAGAACTTATGATATCCGGGTTGTATTCCATCTTGCCAGGCATTTGCATGTCTTGGGAGAACTGAGAATGCGTCGTGGATGAACTATGGATATCCATTGCAGCATTCAAATTCTTACTACTTGTAAATGAGCTTACGATGTCTAAACTGTTAGAATCCATCACGTCAGATTGAGACGGGGCTTTCGAACATTCAGACTTAGGTTTCAATGCATCTAGTAACTGTTTATCGATTCCAGAATCCACCGTACGATATTCAGTTATTAATTGTTGAACAGTTATGTTCCCGGGGGCCGTTTTCTCCTTCTTAGGCGACCGTTTTTCAATTATCTTTGACTTGTTAGCTTGTTTCTCAGACAACGGTTCCGTCGTATCTTTCTCAGCAGCCATAAGTTTGAAGTCTTCGTTAATTTGGACTTTATTAATTTTGGGTGATATCGATATTTTCTTTATCTTCGTGATCGGTTTGGGCGTGACTTCTAAAACAGATTGGGTATTTTTGTATTTCTCCTTATCATTCGGACTGTATATACGTTTTTTGGCTTTCGTGCATAGATTTGAGTGTTCCATTAATTCTTCTGTTGCTGATTTTTCATTTTCAGCTTCTTCTTCGTCAGTTTTGACAGGAGATTTAGATTTGCGACATGCGGTCAAGTCGTTGTGGGTATGCGATGTGGAATGGCTGTTTATATCCCCACGATGACGAGGCGTGAGAGCATCATCTACTAATGTTAGGTCAGAATTAGCTTCGAGCAATTCCTTGTTCCCTTTCATAGCAATCAAAGTGTTGGCTTCATTGTCTTTTACTTGCAACATTTGAGCTTCTATTGACTGGTCCTTTGACGTAGCTCTACTCATACTTGAGTGCATACTTTTCTGATCTCTACCATCTTCCTCTTGTATCGCGTGCGGCCTTGAATCTACGCAGTATTGCATCATCACATGATTAAACTCGGGCTCAGTTTTAGGGTCATCTTTAAAGTGAATCAAAGCCGTTCGGCTGGGATCCGATTCGCACAACGTATCATTCGATTTATTAGGATTATACTTGTGAGCCTCGGCATAGTCCATTGTACTAAGCAAAATATTATTTAAGGGATTCAAGTGATCGAATACAAGCACTTTTGGAGAAACCGGATGTTCCACAGCCATGCGGGAATACATGTGCGTCTGTCGGGGACTCTGAACTTCAAACTCAGACGACTTTTCAGAAGAATTCGAGGTAAACTTAATGGGGCTCTTAAAAGAACGGGATCTCGATTTGTTCAGAGTATGACCAGCCAGCGAACTCATTTTATGGGACTCGTAGTTCGATTCGAGGCACGATTCCATCTCGGAATCGATGTCGACTTGACTAGATGTTATCAAGTTGGCCTGTATTTGCATGCTCTGTGTTGAAGGATTTTTCCTAACGGTTTTGTCAGCTCCGCCGTCGAATGGTATGTTATCAGCCATAGGCTTAACTAAATCTAGCATGAGTTCCTTTATACCATCCGATACGTCTTTTAGGTAAGTCGGAATGACTTTCGCTTTACTTTCCATCATGTACGAAGTTTCCCCGAAAGCAGTTTTCTTTAGGGGGGAGTATTTACTATCGGATTTGAAGTCGTTTTCGCTCATGGACTCGTCATCAAAGTTAAGAGTCTTTACGACCTCATTGCTCGTATGATCGGACTTTTTAGACGAATCAGTAGAAGAATCTTTTGTGTCATCTGCGCATTCGCTGTCATCGAGCGCTAGCCGCGACTTCTGCAGCGCTGCCTGCGCCATAGATATGTTATTCAACAAATCTTCTCTGCTCAGGACTATAGACTGACGCTTTGGAGCAAAACTCATCCTCTTAGGCTCAATAACCTCGACCTTTTCCTCTTCAGCAGGTTGGGTTTTAACTTTAATGACAACCGGTTCATATTCTTCTTCGTCCTTCTCAGTAAAATCAGATATCATGTCCAGTAATTCCTTGGTATCGTTAGCTTTCTTGAATATTTCACTTTGTTCTCGTATTTTTATTTTTTCTTCTTCTCTGACCGCTTCTTGGTCCGACTTGACTACTCTCTCGTAGAAATCGTTTATTGTAGAATCTTTTACTTCTGTCACCGATGTTTTTAATTCTTCTATCTTCTTTTCAAGGACATGAATAACTTCGTCATCTTCTTTGTATTCTGTTGAAATTTGTGGAGTTTCTTTAAGTGGAGGGACTGAGTTATGACTATTCTCATCTTTGTCCGTCTGTGTGTCATCTTCGCTATCTTTTGTTATATAAAACATGCTTTCGCTGGATATGTTACTGTTCTTTTCTTCCTTCTTTTCTGAAACAGACTGCACCGAGTCAAACTGGGTCATGAAATCTTTATCCTCTGAACCAGATACATCTGTGTTGGACATATCGAGTAGAGCATCGAGTACAGAATTTCTGCTCTCGATTTTTACAGGTTCCTTCGCTTCTACGCTTGTAGTTTTGCTTTCAGTGGCTTCAATTGATTTTTCATCAACGTCCATTGCTGAAGAATCTGGCTTGAGATCAAATTGGTCGCTTCGTTCGTCCACTCTCGGGTGCAAGAGCGAGACGTCCTCACTGCCCAACTCTTCTAGCGGCAACTCGGGATAATCTTTATTATCTGAAGTGGTTAGTTTGGAGTCAGTCGTGCTACTCAAAGATTTACTTTTCAGATCCCCTTGTTCGGTTATAGTTGGCGGCGCGCTATATGTAGTTGAAGTTTGGTACACTACAACATCTGTCAGCCGATTGGTCAGACTCCCAAATTCGGGAATGTCCGGACACTTTGATTTGTCCATCATTTCATCCTCGATATGAACCAACTCTGCTGGTATTGGTTTTGTCATAGACATGTTGCAGCTAACGTCATTGTCGTATATAACGGTTTTCCTAACTTCCTCTTCTTGCATTTCAACTTTCGAAGTAGCTTCTGTTATGGGTATTTGACTACTATCGTCATCAGGGAAATGTACAGTCTTTCTGTTCTCTAAACGCGTTTCTTCCTTTGCCATCGGCATTTCTTCGTATGTCTCATAGTTAATCACATTCTCGTCTTTTTCTTCGACCGGTTCTGGTAGATTCACAGTCTGTTCGACTGCTGAATCCAGTTTGTCGAGTAGAAAAACATTGGCAGGTAACGCTTGAGTCATCGATACGTCAGCGTCATCATTATTAAATACAATAGTATTTCTCTTATTCACCGCCTCATCAATAAGGTTGGTGGAGATAGCTTCAGTCATAGATACATCATTGTCTTCTTTGTCAAAGACTATAGTAGTTCGTTTGGGATTCTCTGGTATCTTAGTAAAAGACATATCATCGCCACTTGACTTGCAATTCTCCTCGCTACTCTCAGCTATAATTGGGGCGGGAATCGCTTGCGTTATGGAAATGTTGGCAGTATCATTTTCGTAGACAATAGTCCGTCGTCTAGTGTCATTTTCTTTAGGTGGTGGAGATCGTGTGCTTCTATTAAGGAAATTAAATTGATCGGTAATTTGAACTCGTTCTAGAATAACATTTGATTGCAGAGCTTGTGTGATGGAGATATTTCCCGTTTCGTTTCCGTAGACGACCGTTCGTCTCCTTTCGGGGACGGAGTTGGCCTGTTCGAGGATTAAATTCGTAGGTAAAGCTTGTGTAACTGATATATTACCAACATCGTCTTCATAAATGATCGTGCGGCGTCTCTCTTGCGCTGGTTTCTCAGGTAACATTATATTAGCGGGCACAGCCTGCGTGATAGACACATCGCCAGCATCATCTTCGAAAACGATTGTCTTTCTCTTTTCTTTAACTTTATTATCCAGGATAACGTTGCTAGGCAACGCCTGCGTGACGGATATATTCGCTTGATCATCTTCAAACACTATAGTCTTGCGTTTCTCTTTGTCTGTAGTTTCTCCAACCAGAATGTTAGTGGGAACAGCTTGAGTTATTGATATGTTGCCTGTATCATTCTCATAAACTACTGTACGACGTCTTTCGCTTGAATCAGTGTTACATAATAGTTTCGCTGGTAAAGACTGTGTTACGGATATATTTCCCATACTTTCATTGAATACTATAGTTCGTCGTTTACTAGGATTTTCACTAGTAACCGCTGTTTCGGTTATGATATTTGTAGGGAGAGCTTGTGTCATAGAAATGTTACCTGTTGTATCTAAAGCTTTCTTTGTAATATCAACAGCTAAAGAAGTGGAACCACCATCTTTACTAACAAACGAAGAATTTTCAAATTTCGAATTGAGCATATCATCGACGAAATTCGGCAAGTCATCGTTTACATTCAAAACTATTGTCTTCCTTTGAGGAGTCTCAAACGAGGTTGACGGTAAAAGAGTTTGTCTATAGTTCTTCTCAGGCTCTGGGATATCCGGTTTATCCGGCTGCAAAGTTAACCGTTTACCATCGAAAACTAGAACTTGATTCGGCTCTTCATTGACAGCGAAATTATCAGCTTCACAGGGTGTGACGTAGGGATTAACGGCTATATTTTCTTTATCAGCTACCCAATCAGGATTGAGGCTAACTTTCTTATCTATAGAGGTACTTTTTGATACATCTTGGACGGGACTATGAATGGTATCTGTGATCGACATATCCTCATCGTTGCGAGCGACGTGGGTCATATTAAGGTCCACTTCTATATACTCTGACAAACTTTGCCGACTGCTGAATGGTCCGTGACAGCCCATATTACCTGGCCCTCGTTCTAAATCCCTCTCAATCTCATCCAAATCGTCCTTACCACCTATTTCCTGTATATTTGAGAAGTTAACATCGATACGACCGGAGTTTTCACCGACAGACGACGCAATGAAATCATTTCCGAATATTTTGCTTTGCTGTTCTGTGAACGTGCTAAGTTCGAATTTGTTTTGGGGAGCTGTGAGTTTCGCGTCCGATGTGCAGTCGAGGGACGCGAGTTGTTGGGAAAAATTTACATTGTTTAGGGAGCCATTGGCAATGAGTGATGGGTTTATGTTCCCTATGAAATCAACTGCTTCCACTTCCTCAAATTGTTGGTCGAAGATGCGTTTCCCTAGATGGCCGACTGGCTGTCTGGACGCGTTCGCTTCTGAATCATTACTAGAAGATTCGAGTGATTTGTTGTGTTCCTCGTAAAAATTCTTCCAAGTTGTTGTAGCTTCGTTCGTTACGAATTCACTGTGAACAAGCGTAATAAGTAATTTTAATGAGGAAAAAACAAGAATACGGATGTCTCCTGGGTTAAAACAACAAGATTCTAATTAGTCAGTCAGTTAGATTATAGAAAAATACTCGATACGTATTTTTTAATTTGTCCATACGAATAATATTGACAGAGATACAGCACATTCAAATTCAGAAGGGGCTCGTGACATCACTCTTGCGTAAAAAAATTTACGAAATAATGACGTAGCGCGAACTTTCGCCGCTCTGTAACTTTGTTATTTTAAGTTTTAGAAGTAAAAGAAAAAATACGTATCTATTATATTCTGGCTTTCTAAAAGATGGACTAATTATTATTTTTTAGTCGTCAACCCTATTATTTTGAAATTATCAAATTAATTGCTATTGACTAAATCACAGGGTAGGCAGTCATAAAACTATGGATAAACAAATGAAATGTATTTTGTGAAGAATGTTATTGTATATCGTAGGTAAGTTTTTGGCTAGCTAGTCATTTAACACACGATATCAAACAGACGGGGCCCTAAAGGGCTGATGTTCAGTCGGGGTTGCAGGGTAAGCGCAATGAGGTACCGCGACCTCGGCCCAGAGCAGGAGAAGGAACAGGGAGGTTTTTAGTCAGTAAGAGTCTTGACACTCCCACCCGGCCCTGGGCGGGAGAAGTCATTTGATGATTTTCCCTTCACAAAAAAAAACACGCAATATCAAAGTCCTTTATAAAGGACTTCTGACTTCCACAAAGGAGGTTTCTCTATTCGACTATATCCACCTTTTACTGCATAAAACATCTTCGTTTATGAATCCATTTCGATCATTCTAAGGATAATTTCGCGTCAAATCTGTAACTTTATACATTCAGTCAAGGTAATCTTCACAGTACCTACATCCAAACTTTCAAACTAATATTATAAATGCGAAGGTAACTCTGTCTGTCTTTTCTTTACGCCTAAACTACTGAACCGATTTCTGTGAAATTTGATACAGACATAGTTTGGAACTCGAGAAAGAACATATGATAGTTTTTCAGTCACTATTCCACGCGTACGGAGTCGCGGGCAAAAGCTAGTGCACAATGACCATAATACTACTCACGCGACACCAGTTCTTCTGGAAAAGCTGACTCTTCGACTCTTAGCGGTATCAGTCGGAGTGGCAACATTAAATTCGAGCTCGGAGAAGGGAGTGCGGGCTGGACGTTGACTCTTCAATATGGAGGATCTGCGCTTTCTCCTGTGAAAAAAAATTAAGCAATTATATTATGATATTTCTCCTATGTCGTGGTTGCGTTTACAAACATACGCATATAAGAAAGGGAGTCATGCTGCGGCACAAATGGGTCGACTCGACCGGAGTGATACCACGGCCTCACAGAAACCCGGCGTGAAATAACCACAGCGTTATGTTTCGCCGTGTGAGTGTGGTTACGGAGGCACAATCCTTCCCCAATTCCTAAAATGTCGGCAACGCACTTGTAACTGCTCTGTTGTTGCGGTGTCCATGGGCGGCGCTGATTGCTTAGCATCGGGTAATCCCTCTGTCGTTTGCCGAATAATCATATAATAAAAAGTATACTATTTCTCACACACAACTCACCCGGAACAACAATTTGTACATCATCAAATAATCACTACATAGTAGAAACAAAGTCGCTTTCTCTGTCCCTATATGCCTATGCATACTTATATCATAAAAACTACACCACAGATTTTTGAGTATAGATAGAGTGATTGAATAATATATTTTTTTTTTGTATAACAACCTTAATGATTGGCTACCCTGAGATAATAATACTAATAAACAATTTATAAATTTTGCCTCTTATAAAGAGAGATTATAATTTGTAAGTTTATATGTAGGAGGTAATCTTTGAAACCGCTGCCTTCAATAAAAGATAGCTACAATGTTGCTGAGTGCTATAGGCTATAAAACATTACGCTACCATCAAAGGGACCCGAGCCTCGGGTGAAGACACACAAGAGTGGCAAGTACTGAAATAAGCTTAGAAACTCCAAGTAAATTGATTGTTATTTTCAATAAATTTTTTTTTTAGGTATGCTATGCAACATTTGTGTTAGTTTGATATCAGTTTTTAATACCAAATATTACCTTTATGTTATGGTTGTAACCATGTTGCATTTAATCGGCTGTTATATACATATAATAATATTATAAAGTTGTGAAATTTGTAAGTTTGTATCTAGGGCGTAATTTTAGGAACCGCTAGTCACATGGAGGTCTGCTCAGTAGTTTCAGAGGTCTTGATAAACTATCGAAATTATAACCAAGAAAAATTTGAATACATTTAGAATGTTATTTGTAACATATTTTCGGTTCTTATATGAAAATGAAGAAACATACATAAAGAAGTATTTAAGGCAGTGGAAAATAAAATATTTTTTACAGATACTTATGATCATTAAATATAAACAATAGTGGGCAGTTATTTTTTTATAGTATGAGAACAATCGTCAGCATACAATTTACTTGATATAAATTTAAGATTCTAATTCAAGGTCCATGAACCATTGTTTCAATTTGTCAGATAGTTCATACACATTACATTCTATATTCAAATTTATGAGGTTCACATCAAGTCTTGATAAAGGCTCTCAGTCAGACATAGAAGTTAAACCAACGCTTTGCTTGGCAATGATAAATAACATTTGAAAATGAAACTTACGTCGCCGCGGCATCAGATGTCCTACTCTGCGTTGTTTCATCCATTATGTCAGCCACTTAATTACTTAATTCTTATAAAAAAACCAAACCACTTCATCACTTTATTCTCAATAACTTAGAACAAATTAATATTTGTTTATTTCCAAACAAAGTCTTCAAAACACAACGGCCGCGGTCATTCAAAATTTGACTTTGACAGTTTTTAATTTTTAAATTCAATGTTTTTTTTAAATGTGGCTTGTTTTTTACCAAGTCCGAGTCTTTTGAGTTTAGACGTGTTGTTTAGTTTTTTCTTTAGTTAGTGTGTAAATAGAAATTAAACTGCGATATACCTAAACGGAACATGTAAATTAAATATACTATAATCATTTATCACAATTACTTTATCTTATCATAAATTTGATTAGTGGGCAGCCTTAGCGGAGGAATTTAACACAATAAACATATATTATTGATTATAATAAAGCAATATTATCGCACTTACAAGAAAAATACAACACCAAGGGCAGTGATTGCTAATAGGGTAGTGTACACAGAACAAATCGCTAGCCAAATGAGAACAATGGCATAGTCTACACTCACTGAATCAGACATTAGAAAGCATAGCAAATAATACTACATTGCTTCTTGTAAAAACTACAAATTTTATTTATTTAAACTGCATAATTTTGCGACTAGGGATCCGAATATGACATTTTGTCAGTCTACAACTAATTCTTCTTTTTCTCTTGCTAACTGAATGTCAGATTTTCTTTACAAGCTTTATAGAGAAGGTTTTACTGTGCAATAAAGATCAAAAACTTTTTTGAAATCTTTTTTGTATTATATTTTTGCTATTATGTCGTAGGTCAGTCAATTTGAAACATCCAGCCAGCCCTGCCCTGTTCGATGCATTGCATAATGCGTATATCACATCTTTACGTATATTATAAAGAGGTATGCCAGTTTGTATGTTTGAAAGTTTGTATATAGGAGGTTATCTTTTTTTTTGAGAGGACGGCTATATTTCAAACGGATAAGCAATTAGCGCCGCCACCCATGGACACCCTCAACAACAGAGGAGTTACTGGAGCATTGTCACTTTTTGGGGATTAGCGATTTGGAGATTGGGAGATGATAAGTATTGGGTCTCCGATAACCTTACTCACTCGGCGAAACACAACTATGTAGTTGTTTCACGCCGGTTTTCTATGAGGCCGTTGTATTTTTTTTTATGTGATTGTTTGGCAAACGGACAGACGGATTACCTGATGGTAAGCAATCAGCGCCGCCCATGGACAACAGAGAAGTTACAAGTGCGTTGCCGACCTTTTAGAGATTAGGGATTTGGAGATTTAGGGATTGAGGAGGGACTGGGGGAGTGGAAGGATTGGGCCTCCGGTAACCTCACTCACACGGCGAAACACAACGCTGTGGTTGTTTCACGCCGGTTTTCTGTGAGGCCGTGGTATCACTCCGGTCGAGCCGACCCATTCGTGCCGAAGCATGGCTCTCCCACACTTATGATAGACCAAATTTTAATTGCTAATCCTACATATACATCTTTATACCTACCATTAATTATTCTATTCTCAGCAATAACCTAAATGGCTACAGACGTATAAAGAATAGCAAACCAAACAATTTAACATTTTTGAAGCACGTGAAAAATGGATTAAACTTGGCCGGACTTTAAATTTATATTATTTATTATTATACAAACATTTATTCTAAAATTAGTATGTCTCACGGCAGGCATTGTTCCTTTACCGTGTCTTAGGAGCTTATTATGGCTCATCATTCATCTGGAACCAGTTATACCCCTCGGTACCGTTTATATAGTAAATATCCTCCACCTAAATGTCTTCGCGACTGGGAACGCGGTTTACGTATTGTCTGACTGTCATCCCACTGAAGAAAAGTCCTAGTTTTAGGTACCTACCTACCTAGCTTAACTGACGAACATAATGACAGACTATTATGATTTAGTTGGAATAAAACCGACTGCACGGTTGGCGCGGTGGCTGGATAACTGGCTGCCGCGCAACGTGTCGCGGGTTCGATTCCCGCACGGAATAACTCTTTGTGTGATCCACAGATTGTTGTTCCGGGTCTGGGTATGATGTGCTTGTGAAATTGTATGTTCGTAAACGCACCCACGACACAGGAGAAAATGTTATAGTGGGGCAACGTTTAAAAAAAATTAGTTTGACTGACGTTTTTTGCTCCCTTCATCTAATTATTATTAGGTTGGCATCCACCAGGGTCATAATTGTGACTTAAATTTCCTTTTCTACCTTATTTTGGTACATTATGGAATGCAATAAACAATATGTTTTTTTTAATCTTGAAAAAAAAGGAGGTAAATAAGAAATAAAAGACATTCGGATCACTAACAGACGGCATGTACTTTATTAAATAATATCACAATTTAGTTGCTACCTACTATAATGTTATTTTAACATAAAATAGTACTTATTAGGTACTATATAGGTACTTCTATTTTCAGAGCCTTTTATTTGAAGACAACATCTGCTGTTGGTGTGTGCTCGGAACAGAGTAGAATGAGAGTTATTCTAGGATGATTTTAAAATAAAATACCGCCAACGTATCTTGGCGAGTCTGAAGTTAGCCGATTAGCTGCGCAGTACACAATTTTGTTTCTAAAAGATCTAGTGCGTAGACAAACGGCTAACTTCAGACTCGGCCGTACTGTAAATAATCAAATACAATGATATTATAAGTAGAATAGTGTAGATTGGTTAGTGCACACAAGAATAAAGCGTATGATACACGTTAAAGTGGGATGGCATGATTCAATAATCGCGAGTGAGAAAGAGACAAATATGAAAGTGTGGCTAGTTAGCCACATTTTAATGTATAACTTGCTGAGCGCTTGTAACCTATCTACACCTTTTTACTTATAATATCGTTGATCAGATATGTATCAACTCTATGACAGTAGTAATTAAAATTATTATTATACTTATTACTAGGATGTAGATATAAACCTCCTCCGTTATTATTAAAAAGTTGTGTTTTAATTATTGCCATCCAAGAATAACTCTTCTTTATTTCCTTCCTTCCTTATCCAGGCATCATAGCTAGTTAGACATAAGACGTAAGACCGATTTTTTAAATTTAAAACCCGCTCTGTTTTTACCATACCAATTATTACTTGTTTTATGTACCTACATAAAAACAAAACAAGTTATATTAAAACAACAAAACTTATAAACTTAGCAAAACGAACTAACTAATCAAAAAACAAAACATTTAATTTACCTATTTTAATTACAAAAATACTGATCGCATATATTTTGTGTCAAAAAATATTTGATGATCAAACATGGGCTGCCAAGTTTTGCAAACAAAATTAACTTGATTTAAATAAAAGACAATTGAATAATAATGGTAACTTAAAACATCTCGGTCACAACAACTTGGAACCTCATCAAGCCATCGGTACAACTAAACAGTACAAAAATTTACATCAGTAAAAACACTGAATAGCAATTGTCTGTTATGTAAATAAAAAACTTAAAAAAGTATGAATATGTTTTAATTTCCATTTCAAGACTGAGTCAGCTAATAAAAACAACTATTTCATTTTTTTTTAAACTAGATTCTATTCGCTTTCTGACAGAAACAGCAATACGCCATAATCCAGAGACTTTAGAATCAAAGTTTTTTTAGATGACAACAAACTATACACCACAATTTCTGCCCATTTCTTCTCTAGCACTATGGCCTTGACTAAGGCGCGAAAGAGCGTGGTGATTAATAATCAAAGCTCATCAGTGTAAGAGGAAGCCTTTGCCCAGCAGTGGGCACTTATAGGCTGATGATGAATGGACACCTTTTTTTTTTTGTCAGGGGAAAATCATCCAATGACTTCTCCCGCCCAGGGTAAGGCGAGAGAGAGTGTCAGACTCTTACTGACTAAAAACCCCCCCGTTCCTTCTCCTGCTCTGGGCCGAGGTCGCGGTGCCTCATGAATGGACACCTGAGGTTCATAAAATCACTTCACACTGGATGAAAAGTCAGGTTCAAGTTACGTAAAGTATTATGTATCCAAAAGCGATTCCCTTTGTGTTTTTTGTACCCCAGAGCTAAGTAAAGTAGCTTTGGGATACATGTGGTCGTGTTTTGGTTGTGAATCATCTTTTGAATGTATCGTTACGTCTTCGCCAGGGTCGTAGGGGCTGTAAGAAAGAAATTACATTTAAGATAAAAGGGCGACTGGTGATTAGGGACCGATTGTACTTATGATAACAAAGAACTCTCCCGAACTCTTTTTTCTAAACTCGTTAGTTTTATTTTTATTACTATCTCTATCGTACTTAATATTATAAAGAGGTAAAAATTGTTTTTATTTTTTTTAGAACTCACTCATTTAAATCGTCAGAGACCGGTTCGTCCTTGATGATCTTTAGTTCCACTCTGAAATCATAACAGTTTAATAATCAATCACCTTTTTTGAGAGTAACGCATTTGTAAACTTAAAAAACCCTTTCTAAGGCCCAATCCTTCCCCTCCCCCAATCCCTGCTCAATCCCTAAATCCCTAATCCCTAAAAGGTCGGTAACGCACTCGTAACTCCTCCGTTGCGAGTGCCCATGGGCGGCGCTGATTGCTTACCATCAGGTAATCCGTCTGCTCGTTTGCCAAACTATTACATGAAAAAAAAAACTCAATTACTATTCGCGTTATTATATGTTCAATTTGACTACTTGTCAAATACCATATAAATGTTGTATCAATAAATTATCCTACTGTTAAAAAAAATATTAAAAGAAACAAAACTCACTCTGGCGCACTGTCCGTTGTGTCACCGCCACTGTCATCTACCTCCACCTTCAGCCAACTGAAATATTTATTATTTTTAGCTGTATTTAGCTAAGCTTTTGTCAGAATAAGTTAAAATAAAATACTGTTTTTAATAAAAAAACAATATTGTAAATATACTATCCCACTAATATTATCAATGTGTAATCCTACCATCCTACTATCCTACCATAATATTGTAAATGTGAAATCCTACCATCCTATTATAATATTATATGCGTATAGTTGGTGAGGAAGTATGGATGTACAGCCCGCGCCAAACTATGTGACCGCCCTGAATATAGTCGCGAGTCCGAACTTGTGCATGGTTCAGTCGAGTGGGCAATACGTAATCAACCAATATTAGTATTTGTGAGGACCACCTAGATTGTGAGGACCACCTAGATTGTGAGGACCACCTAGAGGATACGGTGGAGCATACGGTAGCGGTATGCCCTGCCTGGGCTGAGCACCGCCGTATTCTCAGGGAAGTGATCGGCGGCGGCGACCTCTCGCGCCCAGCCTTAGTCGAGGCCATGGTGTGGAGTGAGAGGAACTGGGACGCCGTCTCCTCCTTTTGTGAAGCAGTCATGCTCGCAAAGAGAGAGGCGGCCAGCGTGAGGGAGCAATCCTCCTTACGCCCCGGCAGCCGCAACTGGCGACACTACGGGCATCGGGGATCAAGGGACGATCTCCGGCCACCGTAAGCACGGGCCTGCGGTCGGCGAATAAGGGCAGCTCGCCGCCCGACCAGAACCAGGCCCGAGCGTACGGCGCGTAGCGTCCCGCGCGCGCCTCAAAGAGCCAATAGACCACCACAGACGGGGCCCCATAGGGCTGATGTTCAGCCGGGGTTGCGGGGTAAGCGCAATGAGGCACCGCGACCTCGGCATAGAGCAGGAAAACGGTTGAGCCGATTAGGTTGAAATTTGGTATGTATATAGGTGATACCCTGGATTAACACATAGGCAGTTTTTTATCAATATACCAAGCGGACGAATCCGCGGGTGGAAGCCAGTCAATAAATATTCCAAGTAAGCAAGACAAATTTTTTTTTTTGCTTTCTCTCTACTGAAGCGAGTGAAGCCGCTGGCAAAAGGTAACTAGTGAATAAATAATGACTCACACTAACGCCTCGTCCATAGATCTGTCTCCGGCGCAGTCCACTTCCATATCCGATCTTCTGCAACAAAAAATAGATACATTATTCTAAAACATTATTATACGTAACAATTTCTATAAAATAGGTACATTTATTTATTTTGTTAACTGTACCTACGTATGTAGGTAGGTAAATGTGGCAGCCAAATTCTTAAAATAGCCGTTCAATCAATCAGCTAGCCCGTTTATCACAGTACAATTTAAGTAGCTGTTTATTTGTGGTGACTAATGGCTCCTAATGAAATGTGTTGGTAAGAGCATTACTCAAGAACGCCTGGACCAATTTTACCAATACTTTTTTAGTTGTATTTGTGATTGTCCGAAGAAATTTCTTAGGGAAGTTAGGAGATTGAACCCTTTTGTCGTTAGCGAAATAGTTGAAGATAGCAAATAGCAGGGACGGGCCGCTAGTAATAATATGAAATAAAGTATGAATGTACAGTATGTACTTACTCTACCGCCTCAGGTATAAAGACTGCAGCACTGGCAATTGCTTCCTCTGTTCTCTGCATTTCTAGACTGAAACAAACCCAATAAAATTAAAAAAATATAAACATAACAGTTACAAATAAAAAAATAAACTATTTCCACAAATCGTAATCATCATTATTGCTGCTGCCCACTGTTGGGCAAATGCCTCTTCTCACATGGAGAAGGTTTGAGCATTAATCACTATGCTTGCTCGGATTGGCGATTTTAAATGTTAAGTAATTAAAAATTATTTGTCTAGATTTCCACACGATCGAGTGACTTTCTCCAGCCACCGTAAGCACGGGTCAAAGAGCCAACAGACCACCACAGACGGGGAGCCCTGTAGGGGGCTGATGTTCAGACAGGGTAGCGGAGCAAGCGCAATAAGGTACCGCGGCTTCGGCCTAGAACTAACCTGTTCCTTCTCCTGTTGAGACTAATGCTGCGTTATTGTAGGTTTAATCGCGTATCGCGAGGAAACCTTTTTTTGTCAGGGGAAAAATCATCTAATGACTTCTCCCGTCCAGTGTTAAGCGAGAGAGTGTGTCAGACTCTTACTGCCTAAAAAACCCCCGTTCCTTCTCCCGCACTGGGCCGAGGTCGCGGTGCGCTTTTTGAGCTCACCTCGCAACCCCGGCTAAACATCAGCCCTGTCTGCGGTGGTCTATTGGCTCTTTGAGGAGCGCGCGGAACGCAACGCGCCTATCGCTCGGGTCTGGTTCTGGTCGGGCGGATCGTGAGAAAACTTACACCTAATACAGGGTGTTCTCAATAAACCTGTGACTGTTATTGCGTTTCTTTCTGCGTTTCCGTTTGTTTTGAGGCTGTTGTGGTGTCTTTATCTGGTGCTCCTCCAGCACACGTTGCATGGTGAGGTCGGAGACGCCGGTGGCATGGGCGGCGCGGCTGGAAACCTGCTCCAACCCGATCATCACTTCCTCAGCCGACATCAGCTTCATCACCTCCAACTCCTCGCACAAGTATTTGTACACGCGAACCATCATCTTCTCAGTTTCCTTCTTGACTAATTCCTGAAATGTTTTATGACCATTTGACATGAAATGTTTTGACCCTCTGACTGGGGACGGGCGCGGTGTATGTGTGTATGGGGGAGGGGGGCGGTGTGTGTGTGTGTGTGTGGTTGTGGTTGTGTGTGTGTGTGTGTGTGTGTGTGTGTGTGTGTGTGTGTGTGTGTGTGTGTGTGTGTGTGTGTGTGTGTGTGTGTTGTGAGTGTGTTAGTGTGTGTGTACTTATTTTTGTTTAATTAATATAATTATTTCTATACAGGGTGTAAGGGACAGCCTTCCGCAAACTGATAGGGAGGATTCAGTATATCGTCTTAAGTTGACCGGTACATGAAATTATTTCAGGAACGTTATGGGAATCCAATTAAACCGATTTGTTTCATTACCTTACACGCAATGTATCGCTACCACCGCAAACGCACGCAGCGAACGGCAGCGCTTTTAGTATTATTACTTTACACTATGGGCAGCGCCGCGACCTTACGTTCAGACAAACGGTCGCGCTCGCGCCACGTTTTAATAACAATAAATTATTATTTAAAAGATAGCCGCATTACTTACAAAAGACAATGTAATAATCGCGCTCGCGCCACGTTTTAATAACAATAAATTATTATTTAAAAGATAGCTGCATTACTTACAAAAAAAAATCTAACAATCATAACATGGTAACTGATAAATGATAAAAAAAGAAAAATGCGTAGGTACCTTAGAATCGCTCCGGTTTCCGGCTCTGGAAAGCATTTGTGATGCGGTCTCGCATTTCGAACTCACTTGCACACGCACTCACAAACACTTTTTCTTTTACGTAACCCCACAAAAAGGGGTCCAAATGGGTTAGGTCTGGGGATCGTGCTGGCCACGGTTGCGGTCCAAACCTACCTAAACTACGTTTAAATAGGAAAGCACTGGTAAGTGGTAGCGTCTCCTTACGTTAGCGAACCAATTCCAAAATCCACGTAGGTATTGGTCTTCCGGCGCCTTTTTGTCTGGGAACAATGGGCTGGTTTTCTAGCAAGCGTTGATAGTCACCAGTAATTATCCTGAAGTCTGATGGATGGCGACGGTCAGGATACCTACACTACTACAACACATTATCATCTCCCCATAATCACGCGCACTAAACGTACCTAGGTAGTAATTTCGCACAATTTCTACAACAAAACTTCACTACACTTCACACACTACATAACTAATAAAACTTAACAACACTACTTATAACAAAACTTTTAAGCCGAATGCGCGAGCGATCCGTGCCGGCACACGCTCGCGGTACACAAACAATAACATCGCAGCAAGGCACAATGGCGACTGCATGTGATGAGACACACACAAACATAAATCTTTTGTTGCCAATTACACGAAAATTACAAAATTTCGGGGTAAAAAATAAAAAATTATGCATGGTCGTAATTTATCATTCTGTTATTTTTTGTAGAGAAATGAATTGATTAAATCAATTTAATTCTAATTTCATTGTTTAGTTAATTTAGAATAATAAAAGTGCAGTGTGATAGAAAGCTGTGCTTCCATTCCAGGGAGATTGTGTTTAATTTCTGGCTCGACTATCAATTCATGGCTATTGTAAAGCCATGTAAAAATCTGTAAGTAGTTTAAAAACTAGCCAGTAATCGCTTAAAAAGAACAATCAATTAATAAATTAGGTAGTATTTGTAAATGCTTTAAAATTAAAACTAGACTAATCTTTATTTATTTCTTATTAAATTTATGTGCGCGACAAGATTTTCATTAATTGATTAATGAAAATCTCATCAACGTAATTATGAATGCAAAGGAGTTCTCAAGTTTTAGATAAATTTCGCTAGTTCTAACATTTTCGTTTACTACCTGAGGTAACAAAAGTTAAAAATTGGCAACACTGGTTCAATCGGGCAAACATTGTGCAAAGAATCGGGGAGACGGGGAGACGCGGAGGCGGGGCGATAGAAAGGGAAGCAGCTATTATACGGCGCGCGGCGCGGCGATCGGCGCGGTGGGGCGCCGAGCCGCTGCGCCGTGACCGCGGTGCGGTGAGTTCAAACGACTCGCGCTAGGTAGAAATTGAACAGCTGATTTCATGCGTAGTTCTTTAGAGAATTCACACAACCATTGCGTATTTTTTTGTTTTAGCTGTGTTATTTACATAAATGTTATTCTTCATACATACAATGTAATTATACATTGAAATAGAGGTGTAGGAACTGAAAAAACGAAAAAAAAATTGAAAATTTTCCTGAAAGAATTTTCACTGGAATATGATTCAGAATAAGGAGCTGAATGCACCCTGTTAATTTGTGGAGGGCTGTCCCTTACACCCTGTATATGTGATTAATATTTTGCTACCTATTTTTTTTTCTTTTTGTCGTGTGTTTTTCATTGTTTGACTATCTATTAAAATGTTCAAAACAATTTATTCTGCATAGGCTGTACACCTGTAAATATTATATTGTAAATTTTAAATAAATAAATTACTGACCATGACAGTTATCTCAGGTGGGGCGTTGACCTGCACAGCCTTACTCCGGGACTGCACTGGCCATGTTTCCACTAACTTATCAGCCAACTCCGGCTTCGTCTGAACCTCTTTATCATGAAACCTCTCATCCACCTGAACGGATTCAAACTGATAATTCTCTTCAGCTTCTATTAAATACTCTTCTGTGTTTTCAATTTTAACTTCAACTTCTTGTTCTTGTACTTACATGTGTTAACAAAAAGTTTTAAATTAATACATTTGAAATACCTGATGGTAAGCAATCAGAGCCTGGAGTACGCTGGCTAGATACAGCAAAAGATCGAGAAAAATGGCAGTCTCTGGAGGAGGCCTTCACCTCAGGGGTTCCTTATTGTAAAATATATTGTTGTTGGAAATGTAATTTTTTTGTTTTTAAACTGGGAAATATAAGGCTTTTAACCCGCCCCTAAGATGACCCACTGACACTTTTTTATTTTATTTTTCTTCATTTATTTATTAAGCAATTAGGGCCGGACAGTCATTTACAGTTACTATTTTTTTTTATTAATTTACTATTTTTTATTATTACACCTTTCAACTAGCCTGATCTTAGCCATCCTATGGCAACTTTTAAAGAAAGCAATACTCAGAGCACTTACAAGGATGTCTGACGAAAAAAAAAAAAAAATATCACATCATTGTAATTTGTTTAAAAAAAAATTATTACCTGGACTATGCCATGAACTTCCAGAAAATTCTAATTGTGTTGTAGTTGTACTTTGTTTTACTATATCTTTTTCATCCATTAATACTTTTTTACTTTTTTTGGAAACCGATGATCGTTCCGCAGTGTCCGATAGTCTTTTTGTTTTGCCTTGTTGGCACTCAAACTTTGTGGGAACACAACCTGATTTCATAAGCACTTTTGGTACTGAACCCATTATATGATACCGCATATAATTCTGCATATCATTTGGTAGCTGGAACAATAGAAGGATTTTATCAAGGGCGTAGCTACGAAGGGGGGTATTTAGTCAATAAGGATACCTAGTCTGGCACTCCCTTTCGCCTCAGCCAGGGCAAGGGAAGTCATTGAATGATTTTCTCCTCACAAATGAAAATCTAGGTACTTGTGTATCTGCCGTATATCTCAATAAGGAAATGGCTCGTACACAAGAATATTTTGGTTCCATGTTTCATTGGAATGCAATTTATTGACGAAATAATTGTAATCAACGGTTGTATAAAACTCAGGTGGAAACAAAACCTAATTTAAAAAAGATCCCATTTTTTTTTTGTTTCACAGATCATAAATGTCGAGAAAGCATTACCTGGGTGATTCTTCACATCAATTAAAAAAAAATTAATAATGTCATTATCCTCAACCGAAAATTAACGAGTCTGCTGATTAAAACACAGATAATTATTTTATTAAATTAAATCTCACCACTGCTTACAAGCAACCGATTAAAAATATTGTATAAAATAAATTACTAAGATGCTTAAAAACCTGGGAGGATAATGACTTGTTGAATAAAAGTTAAGGTTTTTTGGAGAATCACTCACCTACTTAATTCTTATTTCCCGCTAAAAATACGAGAAACGCTAGCAGCACCTACAACGCCACTTCGCTATAGCGCGCTGCGAGTGAGTTTGTCGAAAAAAAGTTAAATATAATATTTTTTTAATTGTTTGTACATACTTGTACCTATAATTTAGGCAAGTGGGGATAAGTTATAATATTATACGTGGCTCCGCTATGGCGTCGTACACTTCTGCATAAGTTTTAATAATTTGAACCCAAACTATAGTAAATTAAACTATCCAAGTGGTTTAAATCAAGCTCTAAAGCCAATAGGTACTTTTTCAAACTACGTTTTATAATCTACATAATGTAACTTTGTACCTAACGAACTCCAGAAATGTCTATTTGACAAACGTCACAGAGAGAGATCATGCTTGTTTTTAGTATATTTATAATTTTATATGCAAAATCAGTCAATTCTAATCATACTATGAAATAAAATAGTAATGTTCATAGTTACGTCAAAATGGTCTTCACAGAAATAAATGCCCGAATTTGGTGATATTGCTGCTGGGTCTCGTCTAGCAAGTATCAGCCATTTATTTCTTATTACTGGTTTCATTGGGACGCTAATAAACAACTTGTTTGGTGTCTTTATTGACGTACTACTACAACAAGGGACCGCGCACCATCGATATACATTCATCATTAACACAAATTAAGTCAAAATAAATTCGAAATGTACCTAAACTTTTGTACACAGACAGATCAAATGTCAACAAAACGGTGACGCACAGATTATTATTGTACCTACTCGTCAACGTTTACGAATGTGTGACGCCATAGGATGACACCATAATGCTTGGGCCACACTAACGGGAACTGCCATTCACTATCGCGATAATGGACGTTAATCGTTGGTGTAATTTACAAAAGAATAGGTACTTTTTCAAACTACGTTTTATAAAAATGTGGTATATTAAACTCTACCTATATTATATTATATTGGTATCGACAATAGCAAGAAATATCGATAAATTATTAGTTTTTTTTTGACTCGTAACGACCCTAGAAATGTCTGTTTGACAAACGTCACAGAGAGACATCGTGCTTGCTTTCAATGAAATTAAAAAAAGGCGTAGACAGAGAAATCGTATGTTGTATGTAACCTGTCTATACCATTTTACTTACAAAATCATTGGTTGCTTTAGTATTTTTATAATTTTCTTATTTGAATCGTAACCATTCTCGGATTAAAAAATAAATTGTTTGTTAAATCCGTAATAAATCTTGCTGATACCTGGGATTGGTTAACTTTCTTTTTCCGATATGTAGTAGGGAATATCGTAGGGACATAGCTTGGACTTAATTGTTCCTCTGATTTTTTTCCTCCAATAAAATGTTCACTACAAATTTTGTCGTGAGGTTTTGGAGACCATTGTGTACCATCAGCACTAAAATGAAAAAAATAAATAAAGCATATTAGTGGTCACTTAAAATAAATACAATCTGTTCCAGTAATATTGTACCTAATTTAAGGTTATGTCATGAGCCGTGAATGAAACTTACTTCTTTCTATTCACAGCAGCAATCCATTTTCTTCGTTGTTCTATTTTGTAAGACGCTCTTGGGAAAATATAAAATTTACATTTGCTATTGAGGCCGTTATTTTTGCAGTTGACAACGCAACAACAGTCATGGCCCATTTCTTTGCTTTGATTTTGAACTACAATCAGCCAGTATATAATAAAACTAATATATAATAATATAAAATACAATAGTAAGTAGTCTTTGATTGCAATCAACACATTTGACAGCTGATTATCCGCATTTGTTTCCAATTTCTGCCGTGTTGTGCGCTGCGGTCGTTATCTATCCGCCACTAGGTAAGTTAATAATACTAAAGTAATTGCACTAGGTACTCGCTTTGCACATAGCCAATACATTCATATTGACACACAAATTAACTCAAAATAAATTCGAAATGTAAACTACTTTTGCACCCTTTTTGCACACAGCATAACAAATGTCAACAAAACGGTGACGCACAGATTATAGGTCAGAATATTCTTGAAGTCAGCATTTACGGGTACGTGACGCCATAATGCTTGGGCCACACTAACGGGAAATGCCATTCACTATCGCGATTATGGACCTTAATCGTAGGTGTAATTTGATCACTGAACAAATGATTCAAGGTATATTTTTCATTGTTTAATATCATGAGTTAATAGCGATAATTATTAGCATTTCCCGTTAATGTGGCCCAAGCATTATACTCCATTTGATCGTAACGTGATGAAGTTATCTATCGGTAAAATAATTTTGGCAATCCGACCAGCGGTTCAAGGATTATCCCCTACATACAAACTTACATATTTTACCTCTTTATAATATAAGTAAAGTAAAGATTTATAAAAGAAGAACTGCAGTCCAGGGTAAATCTGTTTCCCACTTCAAGACCGCCGTATTTACGAGCTCTTTATTGTTTTAATTGTGACCACATGCTGATGTTTGGTCTGCTATTCTTTTACGTCTGTGGTACATGGTTGTATAAATCGCTCCAGACTCGCGCGTCAGTTTCGTTTAAGTTTACTATTTTAGGACAAATTTGAGCAGTGTTCCTTGTCGTTCATAAATTTCATATAACTCACGATTCGCACGCCAAACGCCTATCCTATGATAGGCGTTAGGCGCGTTAGACGCCACGCCACGTCACGTCAATATATTTCTATTTCTGGGTTATCAAACGCGAAGTGCGTAGGTATACCTATCAATATTTTTTATGTGATAAGTCGGCAAACGAGCAATCTTACTACCCGACGGCGAGCAATAAGCACAGCCCATGAGCACCCGCAACAACAGAGGAGTTACGAGAGCGTGGAACCTATTGGGTATTAGGGATTTGGACATTTACGAGGTTGGGAAGGGGAAGGTCAGGGTCTCCGGTAACCTCCCTCACATAGCGAAATACACCGTTCTGGTTGTTTCACACCGTTTTCCCGAAGGGAGTGTGAGGCCGTGGAATCACTCCGGTCGAGCCGATCCATTCATGCCGAAGCATGGCTCTCCCACACTTTCTAAACACTGTTTTTATTTATATACGAATAAATAATCCTAGTAATAACTCAAAAAAGTCAAAAATATCCTACAAAAGTATCTTTTGCCCGCGACTTTATTCGCGTGGAATAGTGACTTCCTGCAGTTTTTTGTTTTAAAAACTATCCTATGGCCTTTCTCGAGTTCCAAACTATGTCTGTACCAAATTTCACACAAATAAGTTCATTAATTTAGGGGTGAAGAAAGAACAGGCAGATAGACAGTTTTTTCTCTTTATTTTTTTGAGACTTTTATACCAAGTACATGTCAGTCCCATCGTACCTTATAATCTACATACTTAAACAGACAAATAGAGTAAATATCTCATTTATAATATTAGTTTGGATTGGATGTGAAAGTATGTGAGATAATGTTCGATCTTTGCCCACCGTACACCTCGTGAGACCACCTAGGTGTGCAGCGGGAAGTTTTTTTTTACTACTGTTCACCTTGGTTCACCTGGGTGTACCGTGGGAAATATAAAATTTCCTCCATCCACATTATTATCAAAACTATATCTGAAGATGTTTTTATAATAACTATCGTGAGACATACTAATAAATTAACTAAAATTCGCGGGTTACTCACGTGTAAATGTTGAGAAAAGCTCTACTAGTTTCGAACCACAGAGGGGTTCTTCCTAATGAGCAGCGTGCGCGGACGCGGCGAAGTGAGTAACCCGCGAATTTTAGTTAATTTATATCTGAAGAGCAAAGAGATTAATGATTAAAACATATTATGCATTACGATATTCTCCTCTGTCTTCTACTGATTGTAAACAGGAGCCATGAAGTGGTAATTTGAGTTCAGGAAAAAGATAGAATTCGGCTGGACCCATATCTGGCGAATATGGTGGCGAATACGAAGGTATGCCTTCGCACATGGCCACCGGAGCAGTAGAAGATATGGTATGGGTAGAGAGCGAGAATGTTTGAATGTATTTTTGTTATTATTTCACGAAAAAACGCCTGAACCGATTTATTGAAAATAGGTATGTACGTAGATGGCGATTTCATAGATCAGTTACGTTAGTTAGTTAGAAATAAGTGTTAAATAAAAAAAATGTTTCAAAATACATGTATATTTACGCCATTTAATATTCCATATCAGAAACGGTGGTGTAAGAGGTCGTATGCGTAACAGACGAGTTGGTTTCAGACGTCTTTGAAATAGTACGGGATCTAGGACGCCTGCAAAAAAATGTTTGTGTTCCTTGTATTTATTACGGTACAGGGGGCAAAAAAGGTGACAAATTGTCTGCCCATTCACACCTAGAATACTACTAAATAAATTACAAATTCGTCACACGGAAAATGAAAAAAATTACAAGCGCAAAAATAATTATTGTAATGTATGGGACATGCTCAGATTATAAAACAATGGGCATTTTTTTTCTAATACTGTTTGTTTTATAATCTCAGGCAACTTTATAATAATTGCTTTTTGGTTGAAATGCCTAAAAACACATAATAAGCGGCCGATTTCTGCCAACCTGTGTCAAAATTGCGAGCTTATGAAAAAAATGATTTAAAACCTTTTCTTATTCTTCCCTTTAGGACCTTTGGGGCGGAAGTTGTTAGGCGGTTCACGTTTCTTCGACGATTTCTTCTTCCTTTGCTTTTTATTTCCCTTTCTATCATGATCGTAATCATCGTCTGACATGCTGTCCGTCTCATTCGAATCATTATTATAATAATATCTCCGACGGCTTGATTCCATTCGCCTTTGGCGCGCCTTATAAATCTCGCAAGAGTCTCTTGGCATAATTTTCCAATTTCCTTTGCCTTCGCCTCGACGAAATTTCTAAAAGAAAATATTGTTTTTACCTACTTAAGTATTTATTTTCCTATAGCGTTTTTTTTGTCTCTTATTACTTGGTGGTAAGTAATGGGCGTTGCCGGCCCTGTAATTAAGGATTTAAGAATAGAGAGCATGGGAATTGAGGATGGAGACAGGATAGTTTGGCCCTTCGATGACCTTACTCATACGACGAAACATAATGTAGTTTTGTTACAAGAGGCCGTATCAATCCAAATTCACGTCACCCACTCACGCCGAATCTCTCCCGCATTTAAAACAAACTAGATAAGTACTGAAAAAATAATAATAATTAAGGGTAAAGCCAGAAGCCTTTTTTTGTCAGGGGAAAATCATCAAATGACTTCTCCCGCCCAGGATAAGGTGAGAGAGAGAGAGTGTCAGACTCTTACTGACTAACGCCCCCTCCCTCCCGTTCCTTCTCCTTCTCTAAGCCAAGGCCGCGGTGCGCTTGATCCGCACCCCCAGCTGTACCCACACCAGCCCGTCTGTGGTGGTCTATGAGGCACTCGCGGAACGCTACGCGCCGTCAGCTCCGATCTGGATATGGTCGGGCGGCGAGCAACCCTTACTCGCTGTCCGCCGACCTGCGCTTACGCTGGCCGGAGATCGTCTCTTGATCCCCGACGTTCGGAATGTCGACTACTGCGGCGGCTGGGGCGTGAGGAGGACAGTTTCCTCCCGCGCTCCGCCTTCTTTGCGAAAATAACTGCTTAGAAAAAAGAGGACACGGCTGCCCAGTTCCTCTCGCTACGAACTATAAAGCCTAAAGCTTTCTTACAGGTAAAAACGCGTGGCATGTCGTGTCATGGCGTATCGCATGTTGTAATAAAATGTATGAAACTGAGGCATTCTGTCGCGACCTCGCGCTACAATTATATATTGCTGGCTTAAGTAGCACTGAATAGCGATTTTATATTTATACTAACATTTTCGCGAAGGACTTCATTTAAATTTTCAAGATATAGTCCTGAAATATCATCATTTCTGCCCCAACCAAATCTTGATTTATTTTTATATCTTTTTTTATTTATTTGTTGGTATCTGGATGGCTTCCTTTTATTTTTTGATTGTTTGGAAGCTCTCATGTTTGTTACACAGAATATTAATGTATAAAATTAGTAAAAATGTGAAAAATAAATTTAAAATGTCAAAAAATTATGAATGACACACCAAGTCACTCGCACATGATTTCTCTAACTTTTGAAAATCTAGCTAGCAAAGGAAATTGATCTATAGAAGTAAATTGAATTCAATGAGATATTTTTCATTTCGTTAAAGTTAATAAGATTGGTATTTTTACCCTTCTAACTGCAGTTTTACATTTTATATTAATTAATTATAGGATATTTGTAGCAAAAAATATGTCAAAGCATACCGTAAAATGAAACGTCGTAATGTCATATGACTATTGAAGTCGGAACTACCAACATAATCAGTGCGTCCACCATTTTTACGCAGCTGATGTTTGTTTGAGATAAAATAATTTAGAATTCTTTCTAAATAAAATCTCAAAATGGGTGCTTCTTTCATCCCCATCACTGTATTCACCGTCCTGTGGGGCATTGTGGGCATTGTATGCCCATTCTTCGCCCCTAAAGGCCCGAACAGAGGGTAAGTTGTTGCACCTCCCAGATGAATAAGATTTTGTCATTATTTTGTGCTACAATCCGTGTTTTGTTGGTATATTCCAGGATTATCCAGGTGGTTTTGATGTTAACTGCCGCCACATGCTGGTTATTGTGAGTATCAGTCAATTAATAAGCTTATATTGCATATATGAGTCAGATAACCAAACCTTGAATTTGGCAGTTGACTTTCCTTCTTTATCAGACTAGTCTCGTGATTTCCAATGTTTTACGGAAAAGTCTCTTTAGACAGTGCACTATTTGCCTTCAACATTTATTTTAGTAATTACTATAAGATTTATTTCGTAAGGACCACTTATTAGACAATACTGGACATATAATTTTTTTTAGAAACTACATAAGTACTTTAGTTAGTACAATTTGTCTAAATATGCCTCTAAACCTGTCGATTCTGACTAACTGACATCATAACAGGCTTGATTTCTTATTAGCAAATAGTTTAATTAAATAATTATATAAAAACCTGCCTAAGTCATCAGTCAGTTAGTATGAATTTGGACTAAGTTCCTCTCTGTACTCCCAACTATCATCATCATAAGCCCGTTTCCATCTTTCCAACTACATGCCACCTAGTTTGATGTTCAGCTCTTCTCATCCAACTACTGCCACTCACCCTACGCATATTGTGAGACCTAACTGGAGTGACCCTACACTGTCTCTCAACTATATTATGTTTGCAATATTTCAAGAAGATTGTGTTAGTAGGTTAAGTTTTAAAACAAACTTATTGTTACATTTACAATGCTAGTTGGGGATTTGACCTACTTTGTGAAAAGTTCCTCAACTTACAAATCAGGGCCCAGTCTTAGGGTCGAAAGTGCCCAAGATCAAGCTGTTTAGGTGTCATTTCTTTTCTCATACCCTCTTAGAAGATTAATTGGCATGGCACTAGGAAGAATCCTCAAATTATTAACCCCCAATAAGCAGGCACTTGCAACTTACACAGTTGTAAGCTGATTGTGTCTGAGTTTATTTTGGCATTTCTTCTCAGAGTAGTCAGATAGGAAAAGCTGGCTTCATCTACTTTTTTGTGTAGGTATACATAATTTTGACATGTAAGTGCTGTTTTATGGCTCACTTAATAAAAGGCTTTGCTGATTTGTAATCAACTGAACTTTTATTATAATATATTTTGATTTTGTTACTCAGCCATTCATAGGTTGTTTGTTCATTCATTCTAATGTATGTAAGTTAATACTAGATGAGTTATACTAGATGGTGTTAGCAGTAACTATAGTAAAAGGTTATATTGTTATATCTATTTTACATTACTTTCCTAAATAAATTCATAGTTTCATTGTTTTTTACCATCAGGGGATCTTGTTTGTTATACATGACATGCAAAAGATCTAATGTATGTAAGTTAATACTAGATGAGTTATACTAGATGGTGTTAGCAGTAACTATAGTAAAAGGTTATATTGTTATATCTATTTTACATTACTTTCCTAAATTAATTCATTGTTTCATTGTTTTTTACCATCAGGGAATTTTGTTTGTCATACATGACATGCAAGAGATACAGCAACTTCTTTTTTTTTTACTTTATTTATTTACAGGGATTTTCTAGAACTTCTTAATTAATGAACCTATTTTACTGTGTATTCCAGCTGGCTGTGTGCGTACATGGCACAGATGAACCCCCTCATTGGACCCAGACTTGACAACGAAACACTTATCTGGATGGCGCATACTTGGGTAAGATAATTTTTTTTTTTCTGAACTAGATATACCTTTTTTTATAGTAGTTTTTGTTCTGCGATCAGTCTGTTCAAAGTGAACACCACCTATATGGAACAAAATGCAATGATATGCTCAAATTAGTACCAGCATCTGGTGCAATCAGGTTTTGAGGAGCATATTTTTTTTAGCTTATCAAAGGCAGATTTGATTTGATACTCTCTAACCAAACTTTTTGGTGGGCAATTTAGTTGTAGTGAGTATTATAAAAAATGTGGCCCTAAGGTTACGGCGCCTGCTTCGCACACACGAGTGTGCTGGTTCGAAATCACAAGTACCAATGTGACTTTTTCCGAGTTTTATGTACTTTCTATGATTATTCAGACACCACTGATATACAGTGAAGGGAAACATCGTGAGGAAACCACTTTTATGGAATGGTCATTTCTCTAAGTTATATTTGGAATAATTTAAAAAAAATATTACAAATATAATTAAAGAAACTATTAGCTAGATGTTTCCGTTTGAAATTATAATTTTTTTTTTACCTTTTTTTGCCATTTAGGTAATCAGTTAGTAAATGATTTTGTAGTCTGCCTTTGATGACCGATCTCAATCTAAAATTAATACATTTGAGATCGATTTTTTTACAGAATATATAAAATCAGTAAAAAAATAATTAATTTGGTAAAATATTTCAAAAATACATAAGGCAAGTAAAATAAAATCTGGAGGTATGTGTATGGCTCTAGCTAGACACTTAGGAATTGGTGAGAAATGCAAAATGACCTTGACCTTGAAAATCCAAGGTCATAATGATGTTGACAGCATTGGTTTATCTTTATTATTATGCTCGAAAGTGTGTATCCTTGCCTGCCACGATGTTAAGAAAGTCTCTCGCATTTCTATTACAGCGTAATACACATCAGATGAAAATAAAAACGAATTAACCTTTCAACCTTGGTCATTGCAATACTAGGACAGTATATGTACGAACGCCGGCGTTCGCTTGGCGCTTGGTGAATTCGTGTTATTTTCGTAGAACAGTGAAATACATATTTAATTTTGAATAACGATTCGCCATGATTGGTCTTCTTATCCGCCGTGTAGCCTTCTGCATCCAGGTTTTTTTATTACAAGTACCTAGATTAACACGTTAACCGCCACGTATGTCACCGCCCACCGCTGACCTACGGTAGCGGAGGATTTGCCTTCAATGTTTTTCTGTCGGCAGTCAAAGGCTTAAATAGTTTATGTAGTTCCAACGTCTTCTAACAGATGGCACTGCAAAGTACAGATGGTGTGCTAAGTTCTAGTAGTGGTTTTTTGATCACTTGGTTCAGACTTTCTGCCTAGGACTGATGTGAGGTAATCGGGCTCTAATTTAACAGATATCCTTAGACTAACTCCCCCTTTTTACAAAACAAGATTTATCTTTAGTGTAGGTTTAAACCATTTAGTCGGGTTTTGAATTTTGAATATTGTCATCTACCTTCAATTCGAAATACAAAAACTGGCTCAATGGTTTATTTATTTATTTATTTATTTATTTGAGACTTCATGCACAAAACACTGTACATAGGCGGACTTAATGCAATGAGCATTCTCTACCAGTCTACCTTTGGGCATCTGGTGGCAGGTGCAAGAAGCAAGCAAATTGAGTTAAATATACCAAGCATATATATAAAATCATATATGATACACTTTACATACCTACATAATATATACATACATTATAATACATATTTATAAGGCAGTAAACATATATATATACGTATATGCAGTCATAGTCACGATGATTCCCCCAACCTCTTCAAAAGAAGCTCCCGAACTCTCTGCTTGAAAGACAGCCGACTAGTCAAGATCCTGATATCGGGGGGTAGCGCATTCCACAGAAGAATAGCCTGAACGAAGAATGAGGAATGGAGAAATTTTGAGTGATGAGTTGGACAGTTGAGGAGACGATTGTTAGAAGAGCGAAGATATTTATTGTGGTTTGCGCATGTGTATTGGAAGTAAGAGGACATATAGCTAGGTGGGCAAGGCGAGTTAAGAAAGGAAAATAAAGTGGTTAACGCCCTTTGCTCCCTACGCTGGCGTATGGGCAACCACTTTAATTGCATCCGATGTGCAGAAACATGATCATATTTGCGCAGGTTGAAAACGAAACGAATGCAGTTATTCAGAAGTCGGTCGAGTTTATTGAGGAGATCTGCATTCAGGTCATAGTAACAAACATCAGCATAATCTATTATAGGGAACAACAAGGTCTGTACTAGCATCGTCTTGGTGACGGTCGGAAGCAAGTTTTTCACGCTTAGTCCTAGACTTCAGGTTTTTTCTTTCAGGTTTAGTCCTAGACTAAAGTAAAACCTTGTTTTGTAATAAGGCCGTCTAAGTTTAACTGCGTGTAACACGTGTCTGATGGCAATATCAGCCTTAAGCTAGCTTTCCACTTCAATAATGAACAAATAAAAAAGGCATTCACGTGCCTTCCGCCTTCCGGATCACATAATCATTGCCAACTTATGATGGCATATTGATTCATTTAATTTGAAACTCTTCATACCAGCTGCAACTTTAACTCGTAGCAAGATGTGACATGATGTAGCGGCGAGAAATTCTGGAATGAGAATGGTCAGTTACGAAATCCCATAAAATTTGTGTGGAAGAGCCATGCTTCGGCAGGAATAGGTCGTTCGACCGGAGTGGTACTACGATCTTACAGAAAACCGTCGTGAAACAACCACAGCGTTGTGTTTTGCCGTGTGAGTGAGGTTACCGGACGTCCAATCCTTCCCAAAACGCTAACCCCTAAATCTCCAAATCCCTAATCCCCAAAAGATCGGCAACGCACTTGTAACTCCTCCGTTCCGGGGGTGTCCATGGGCGGCGCTGATTGCTTGCCATCAGGTAATCCGTCTGCTCGTTTGCCAACACATTACATTAAAAAAACTCAAAATTGCAAGTGGCATTCCTCTTTTTCAAGCAAGAGTTTTAGCTTCGAATATAGTTATGTAAACAAGATTTTAGGTTAAAGTCAAATCATTAATTTCACTTAGGGCTGATTTTTCAATAGTCATAATTCTAATCTGGGGAATAAAATTGTTCACACTATTCACCAATCAACACTTCTTATAACAATTTATAAATTACAAGTTGTTTTTGTCGTTGCGAACTGGCAACGCGTCTCACGTGAGCAATCGACGCGTGCGCATTGACGCAAATACTCTATTGATTCGATTACTTCACTCGTTTATTGTATTACGGTGCATTGATATCTTTCTTTATTGTTTTGTTTGCATGTTGCATAATCTAGAAAATCACGATGGCGTAATTTATGTATGATTTTTTTTTTATTATCCAAATTTGGACAATAGTACTTAACCTTAGGTACTTATTTTTCTTCATTAAATCACACCTGGTTTTTTTTGTTAAGGTTAATTCTGGTTTTTTATTTTCTAATTTTTTTTTGTATTATGTTGATTTCATTTTGGTATATTTATTTAGTTTAAGCAACCATTTATGTCTCTTGAAGGTTGGTTCACCTGTAATTGGCGACTTTGTTAACCCACTGGTGACAACATACTTACTAGGGTTTTTTTTTGTTAAATTGTACACAGAAGCTTTTGGTGTTCTTTTAATCTAATTTATAACAATGAAATTTGTTCGTTACTCTCACTTAATCTCGAGAACACTAATTTCCGTCCGAATACAATTTAGGTGTCTTCAAGGCTAGAGTGAATAGGCTCTTAAAACTAGTGCGCCTTACCATCAACGATTGCATCACTGCTTACCATTAGGTGGGATCGCAGTCAAGCACTAGTTTATTGCAAGTAAAAAAAAAAAGGAACGGCTGGTCCGATTTGGCTAATTTTGGTGTTGAAATATTCGTGAAAGTCCAGGGAAGGTTTAAAAGGTCACAAAACTTTAGGTAATTTTGAGGCGGAACGAATATTAGCAAAGATGCTAGTAATAGATAAATTAAAAAAGGGTTTGTAAACGTATTCACAACACAAAAAGAGACTTTGAAACGTAATTCTAGACGCGAAGGAAGTATAGGCGCTTGTTACAACTTTTGCGTTAAAATGAGACAAGCGTCAACCTTTCTTGCTATAAATTTTGATATCTGTTCTACGATCCAAATGTCATTTAACCCAGAGACTAGAAACTCATCTTTGACATTGACATAATAATTTGTCAAGTGTCATTCCAATAAATTGAATGTCACATAGCACAGTTCTTTCATAAATGGCTTCTTTACTGTTACTGTGATCACAAGCAGCGCCCTAACATACATTAGAACTCGAATTTTAATTATTTAACTTTATAAGAATTTCTTTCATGGACGTGTCATTTTTATTGGTACTGGTGGTCGGCCCCGGCTTCCTACGGTTGTTGAACTACTTTGGCGTCGGTTATTTGTTTGTTACGCCGCCACGACATCGAAGAGGTTGCAATTGTCTAATTTACTCAAGAACTTTTCAAAAAATTCTTTTATGACACATTCTTCTGTTTAAGAAATACATTAAAAAAAATCATTTATTGGAATTGGTCTTGTGTGTTACCATGACCATGTGAATGGGGATTCTGATGGTAAGAAATTTTCGCTGTCCATGGACCTTCATAATCAATAATCATAACTCCCCATGCATACCAGAGGATTAACGAGTGTGTAGCCAGCTTTTTGGGGATTTAGGGTTTGGGAGAGGGGTAGGACTGTTTATTTTATGGGGAGATTAATGCCAATTTTACGCGTTATTTTTTATTTACTATTTCTCTACTACTTATTGCCTATAGGTACTACATGTACCGTGCATTTGTTATCAGACCATTAAGTAATTATAGTTATTAATGACTAGCAGACCGCCCCTGCCTCACTCGGATTTTTTTTTATGGTATAAGTCGGCAAGCGAGCTGACGGATTACCTGATGGTACCAAAGCAATCGGCGCCGCCCATGGACACCCGAAACACCAAAGGAGTTACGAGTGCGTTGCCAGCTGCGTTGCTTTTAGGGATAGGAGTTGCGGTTATAAGGATCGGCAAGGGATAGGGGAAGGGGAGGGATTGGGCCTCCGGTAACCTCAATCACACGGCGAAACACAACGCTGTGAGTTGTTTCACGCCGGTATTCTGTGAGGCCGTGGTATCACTCCGGTCGAGCCGACCCATTCGTGCCGAAGCATGGCTCTCCCACACTTCGGATATCAGACTACCTCGCTGTCAGTCATTAAAATTTGTTTTGCAAGCGAACGGCCACATGTCCTAAAAGGTTGTTAATTCCCGCTATTTCCATTTACTTTTCTAAAGTTTTCTTTCGTAAGAACCTTCTCCTTACAATAATGAACATAACAAAAAAAGAATTAACAAAATTGGTCCAGGCGTTGTTGAGTTATGCGCTTACCAACACATTTCGCGATTCATTTTTATATTATAGATTTGCACGGATTTTATCTGGCAAATTAACACGCACTTGACTTTAATTTAAGTGATGCAGTGCACGTAATGTGATAAGATACCAATGATGGCCATTGATGATCGATATTTAACCGAATTACTAAAAATAATGCTTTGCTTTTTCCACCTGAATACTTGTAGTAGTAGGTGATGATCTTTTAGATTCGCGAAAAATAGTAATTTAGCTTTGGCTTTTTCGTGTTCGTTATTTTTTTAAGGCGTCGTCAACAGTCGTTACGGTCCAGACTGTCCAGAAAGGGTTTGTTGCAGTGTCATTCATTGGATGTTCTTTTGTCCATAAACACACACAAACACTTCACAATTGGCATTTTGGGATATAACAGTTTTAGCTGGGGTTGCGGGACTAGTGTAATAAGGCACCGCGGCCTCGGCTTAAAGCAGGAGAAAGAACGGGGGGGTTTGAGGTATTAAAAGTCTGACACTTCCTCTCGCCTCACCATGAGCGTGAGAAGACATTTGAATATTTTCCATTCGCAAAGAAATGAAAATATTTCAATTTTAGAAGTTCAGGTTTATCAAAGAGCTGCTCCCCTGTCTTACCACATGGATTACAGATGTTGTTCGTAAGAAGACTACAGAGTAGTGATCGTGCGTGACAAATGGATTCCACTATTTCGTTTTTGTATTGCGTTACATTCTTAGTAATTAAGTGTTAACTTAAAAAGAAATGTGGGAGAGCCATGCTTCGGCACGAATGGGTCGGCTCGACCGGAGTGATACCACGGCCTCACAGAAAACCGGCGTGAAACAACCACAGTTGTGTTTCTGTGAGTGAGGTTTCCCCTTCCCCAATCCCTTCTTAGTTCCTAAATCTCCAAATCCCTAATCCCTAAAAGGTCGGCAACGCACTCGTAACTCCTCCGTTGCGGGTGTGCATGGACGGCGCTGATTGCTCATCAGGTTATCCGTCAGCTCTTTTGCCGACCTATTACATAAAAAAAAGTAATTTGTTTTTATTGATCCGATATCGCACCGCCGAAAGCACACCCTTTTTGATATGCCCCAGTTATAGTACAACACGGAGTTCAGATTTTTACTGAGTATTATATTTTACTAGCTTCTGTCTGCGACAAGTTCGGATTGACCGGGTAAAAAGTAGCCGAATGTGATATATTCCAGGCTATATCACTTTTATTTTTCACAATTTGAATGTGTTATTGTAGGTATGTTTGTGAAATTCACATTTAAAATCTTTTGCGGTTATTTTATTAGTAGGATTAATTAATGCTGTTTTCATAAAGAGAATGTGTACAAAGAAGGGGCGTGTCCGTCGTGTCACTGCGCATTTCAATAAGCATAATATTGCATCGCCTTTACCTTATCTTATTGACCTATTAATTAGATATTATTATACTCGTGTAATCGGTTTCCTGTTTTCTCCTATGCACTTATGAGTGTATTACATTTCTTATGTACAATAATGCGAATATTTTAGGTATTAAAGCCATTTCTTGATTGCATTTTCAGAGTATAGGGCGGTGGATAAAAGGATTCTACCTACTACTCTTTTCTTAATAGGTACTGCTTTCTTAATAGGTAAATGCTTTACCTATGAAATTGCCGTTTTGCATGAAAAAATTTAAACGAATTTTTTGATTTGAAATGCGATGAAAATGTAACACCAATCAATAAACAAATGACTACTTTTGGAAAAAGAATCCCATGTTTTTAAAACAAAATTAATTAGCCTTGGCCCAACAAAAACTATTTTGATTGGAAATGGCCAGTACTGCAGAACGGCAATTTCATAGGTAAAGACCCATTATTTTTCGTGCAAAAGTTCTTTCTTTTTTTAAATGTCACCGTTTTTACCGTTTCAAAAACATACATTTTCATAAATAAGAATGATATACACCTATAATATTTTTTTTACATATAATAGGAAGAAAAAGAGACTCACTTCTGTGAGACCGTAACTATTCATGTGCTTACAGTTCCTTAAAATTTAAATAATCTCCTTTTGTTAGTTTCAGTACAATTTTCTTTGTAGAAAATAACAAGTCTGATATAATTGTGTGACATATTTTCTCCTATCTGTCGTGCCTTTATCGGAGGTCAAGGTTATGTGGTCACGTTTCAGACTGATTTATAAATTATCACGTTTCGCATTGTCCAGTGTATATTGATGCTTGCTTTTTCGATCCTTATTTAGTACTAGCTGACCTAACAGACTCCGTATGCCCTCAAAATTAACAGCTTGTTAAAGTTTAGAAATTAAGTACATTTTTGTTCTCTGCCAAATATTTAATGACATTTATATAAAGGGGTCTATGGGAAGAAATATTGTTTTTGTATGTCATTTATGTTTTCTGACCTAGCGTTTGAAACATTCCCTGGACTTCTACGATTTTTAATCTATACTTGTATACTAATATTATAAAGAGATAAAATTTGTATGTATGGCTTACATACTCCCGTATGTAAGCTTGTATAGGGCCTTGTTGTTCTCTGATTAATTAATTAATTTATAAGTACCTATAAATTGGAACTAGCTGCTCGTAGATTAGGGGTAAATCCAGATCGGTAATTTTTACTTCTGGTTAAAAGTCAAATTTCAAAATAATTTATTTCGATTAGACTCTCACAGGCACTTTTGAACGTCAAACAAAGCTTAAACTAAAGATAGAAAGTGTCAGTCACTAACTAGTAACTATGTAGGTAATTGTTGAAGTTATTTTCACCACCTTAAAATTATTCTTACAAAAAACATGCAAAAAACCAAAGAATATAGAAGAAGTTTCAAAAGGGTTGCTTTTTTTATGTTAATAGGTCGGCAAACGAGCAGACCGATTACCTGATGGTAAGCAATCAGCGCGGCCCATGGACATCCGTAACGGAGGAGTTACGAGTGCGTTGCCGACCTTTTAGTGATTAGGGATTTGGAGATTTAGGAACTGGGGAGGGATTGGGAAGGGGAAGGATTGGGCCTCCGGTAACCTCACTCACACGGCGAAACACAACACTGTGGTTGTTTCGCGCCGGTTTTCTGTGAGGCCGCTGTATCACTCCGGTCGAGCCGACCCATTCGTGCCGAAGCATGGCTCTCCCACACTTATTGTAGTATTTATTATTTGTAGATATATTTCTCGAATATATCAACAAATAAACATCTAAGAGTGCCTAACTTTAATTTTAATAATAATATCATTTTCTTTTGTTACAGGGCAACAAAATCGTGAAGTAAAGTTGGCAGAGTCATCCACCTTCCCCTAGCGATAAGTGTTAAAAGTTCTGTGTCGTATATTAAAACATGCTATTTAAATATTTATTGTAAAATACTATCAATTCAATTAAAAAATAAGCGTACATTTGACGTGTTAAAAAGGTTACATATTGACAGTATTACCTCTTTTAAAAAGTTGCTTGTTCTTGTCTATGGTGGTGTCGTCAGATCCTTTACCCGCTGGAAAATTGTTATCATTCCAATAAAATGATTTCTGTAATATAATGAGTAATTCTGTAAACTACGTGTGTATAAAATTTCTTTAATTTTATTGTAGATAAATACATTTATTTCAGGTTAATTGTTAGTTTTTTAATTTTGTATTATTTAACCTTTTTTTTTAATACTCTTCCTCATAAATTGGCTTTTATCCTACGGCAGTTGTACGTCCTTGACTGCACGGTTGGCGCGGTGGCTGGGCAACTGGCTGCCGTGGGACGAGACGCGGGTTCGATTCCCGCACGGAACAAAACACTTTGTGTGATCCACAAATTGTTGTTTCGGGTCTGGGTGTCATCATGTCATGTGTATGTGAAATTGTATGTTTGTAAACGCACCTACGACACAGGAGAAAATCCTAGTGTGGGGCAACGTTTTTATTTAATTAGAAAAAAAAAAATAGTTATTAGGCACATCATGACACCTATTATCAAATTGTGACTTTTTCATCGTCCTCGGCTCTTTAAGACCCTCGACTGAAGGCTCGGGCCTCAATGCGCCTCAGCGGTTATCACCAACATTACACACTAAACTTGTAGGTACCATAATGTGCTATTCCAACTGCTGAAACAATTTTGTTTGCTTCTTGTTTTTAAATGGAGTATAATTCTTCCTCTATATCAATCTACTACCGGCGAGCACAATGTAAGATGACCATTTCTCCACTAAGAGACCTCATCCCTATTTCAAACCCCTTTCCCCGCAGCAACGAAGGAGATACGAGTGTGTTGCGGACCTTTTGGGGATTAGGGATTGGGGGAGGGCAAGGATTGGGCCTTTGGTAAACTCAATCACACGGCGAAAGACAATGCTGTAGTTGTTTCACGCCGGTTTTATGTAACGCCGTGTATCACTCCAATCGAGCCGACACATTTGTGCCGAAGCGTGGCTCACCTACAAATTACTTATAAGAATTATATCGATAAAATTCGTGAATGGGATTATTTTTTTTTAAAAGGAAATACCGAAATAGCCGCTCCATAAATACTGCACCACGATGTTAGCTTCAGTTCTTAAAGAACTAGTCGAAGTCGCGGGTCAATAAGGTGCCTCGGCCTGGAGCAGGCGAAAGAACGGATACGGAGGGTTTTTAGTCAGTAAGAGTCTGACACTCTCTGTCGCTATACCGTGCGCGAGAGATCACTGACTTCGACAAAAAAAAATTAAACGGCTGGCATGTAAGTGTGTGTTTTACGCTGGTACTTAATTTACTTAATAATACTTTACTTAGGTAATAAAAATATTAGATCTTCCATTATTTGCACACTCGCGAGTTCTAAAGAGATTATAATCAAACGCTGATTCATCGCACAAAGCACAAGTTGTTTGTTAAAAAAATTAACGTGAAAGTGTCTGATGACCTTGACCTTTCCATACGGCAATTATGGATTCTCCGTATTACACATACGATCTAATTTAATCTACAGAACGGCCAAATATACTCGTGCGTGGCCGGTGTCTTGAGCTGTACTTAATTATAGGAACTAGAAACTATTTTTGTACGAAATGTTAAATTTTTGAGAGCTTTTACAAGAAAAAGGCGCCAAATTAGTACAAATTTAATATTTCAGTTGAAAGTGGCGCTAGTTTCTTTGGTATAAAATGTTTCTATTGCATTTTTGTGTGGGATTTTTAGTTCCAATTTTCGTCTTATGTATAGGTGAAATTGGTTTACTTGTTTTTCTTAAATTGCGCGCGCGTTTGTGTCAATGCTATTCAGACAGTGTAGTGTGATTGTAATTTTTTTTTTAAATTTTAATAAAAAAAGTAGCTCACTGTCCGACCAGAACCAGACCCGAGCGTATGACGCGTAGCGTTCCGCTCGTTCGCGTTCCAATAGTCAACCACAGACGGGGCTCCACAAGGCTGATGTTCAGCTGGGGTCGCAGGGTAAGCGCAATGTGGCACCGGAGAAGGAACGGGGGGGTTTTTAGTCGGTAACAGTCTGACACTCGCTCGCCTTATCCTGGCCAGGAGAAGTAGGTAATTTGATTTTCCCCTGACAAAAAAAGCACTGTATGTGATTATCATTAGCAAACTAGGTCTGTAGGTATTTGGCGCCACTTTTGACGTCACAAAATGGCGGGTACTGAGTACGTAAGTACACAAAATTCATTATTTAAAAATCACGTGCGTTTTATTATTAGACCGATCACGTAACGACGTAACTTTACGTAAGCAAATTATTTAATGTGTGTCCTTGCCGGCCATTTTAATATTATTTGAAGGTTCATTGGAAACCGTGACCGATAGTATTATCATTATGACTTCTTACGTCCATTGTATATGTTTTTTTTTTAAGGAGACCTTTCATTTGATTCATTGACTTTTCCTGACCTGGATGGGGCGAGAACAAGTGTCATTTCATCTTACCAAGCCGGGTCACGGTATAAACTTATGCTAGAACATGAAGTCAATGTACCTATATGCACTAATTAAATCCTATATGCCAATATTTAAAAATCTATTTAAGTTTCGTAATAAATAAGGGGAAAGGAAGGATTCCTTTTCAATGCTTTTCTTATTGTCTAAAGAGCCAGCCTAGTATCACTGATTAAACATTTTATTTTCAATTTTATTTTTAATAATCAATAATATTAAAATGTTATTATTTTTTGCATGATGTGGTCTCCTAAAATTGGAGGAGCACAAAACTATTGTATTTTATTTTATTATTGCGCATGTAATGTGTATTCTCTGTTGTTGGAGATCCTAATAAAATAAATAAATAAATAAACATGACGAATATTCAACAAGTACCTACCTACTACAGATCCGGACATTAAAAAAATGACGACTCAAACCAAACGTTAATAATGTATAAGTATGCTCTTTGATTCAAGGGAACGATAAACCACAATACAAAATAGGAAAAACGGTATGAAAATGAAAAAGGAGACCTGTGTCTCTTTTTTAAAAGAAAAAGACAGGTCAGCAACGCACTTGTAGTACCTAATTCATTTGAGAGGATGAGTACCTACCTACCAATATTTATCCTCTTTGGTATCTACGTACCAAAGAAGTCACTACATTGAGTTAAGGAGTGACCATGGGCGGCGCCGATTGCTTACCATCAGGTAATCCAGATGCTCGTTTGTCGACCTATTACATAAAAAATTGCGTATTTTATGTAATTACAGACATACAGACATACCTACTGATTTAATTAAACCTAGAGCGACTCGAGACCTACCTACTTACGAGCTTTTAAAATGTCAAAGTTCTTTGACCTCAGCGTGTCATAGAATTCGTAGTTTGTGTTGCTAACAACCAACATAGGTATTATTAAACAGGTATTAACGCGAAAAATAATTATTTAAATACCTTGGAAGGCTTTTTTTTGTGAGGGGAAAATCATCAAATGACTTCTCCCGCCCAGAGCCGGGCGGGAGGGAGTGTCAGACTCTTACTGACTAAAAACCCCCCTGTTCCTTCTCCTGCTCTGGGCCGAGGTAGTACCTCGCAGTACCTCATTGCGCTTACCCCGCAACCCCGGCTGAACATCAGCCCTTTAGGGCCCCGTCTGTGGTGGTCTATTGGCTCTTTCGAACGCTACGCGCCGTACGCTCGGGCCTGGTACTGGTCGGGCGGTGAGCTACCCTTACTCGCTGACCGGAGACCCGTGCTTACGGTGGCCGGAGATCGTCCCTCGATCCCCGACGCCCGTAGTGTCACCAGTTTCGGCGGCTGGGGCGTGAGGAGGAGGATTGCTTCCTCACGCGGGCCGCCTCTCTCTTTGCGAGCATGACTGCTTCACAAAATGAGGAGACGGCGTCCCAGTTCCAGTTCCTCTCACTCCGCACCATGGCCTCGACTAAGGCCGGGCGCGAGAGGTCGCCGCCGCCGATCACTTCCCTGAGGATACGGCGGTGCTCAGCCCAGGCAGACCTTAGAAGGCTTGACGTTTCAACCTGGTTGCACAGGGCGTGGTCGCAAGCAGACTTTTCGCGTTCATACCTGTTTTCTTAAACTTAATAATAAGTATGTGTAAACTAATTAACATGAAACGTGAAAGTTATAAAGTTTGAGTAGTTACATAAATTAGACTACTTTTTTTTATCATTTTTAACAAATAAATGGTAAAATCATTAATCAAGACGTAGGTACCAATTAATGTTATTCGGTTTTCAAAACATTCCTCATTCATTTTAAGTGTGTGAGAGCCATATGCTTCGGCACGAATGGGTCGGCTCGACCGGAGAGATACCACGGCCTCACAGAAAACCGGCGTGAAATAACCACTGCGTTGTGTTTCGCCGTGTTAGTGAGGTTACCGGAGGCCCAATCTTTCCCCACCCCCAATCCCTCCTCAATCCCTAATTCTCCAAATCCCTAATCCCTAAAAGGTTGGCAACGCACTCGTAACTCCTACGTTGCGGGTGTCCATGGGCGGCGCTGAAAAAAATGCAAAATTTTGTTTATTTACTTCAAAGGTGCACCGGAAGACCGAGAACTAACTAAGAAGATGTGTGATGTACATATGTATATGGTATATAAGTGTTAATTCATTGTAAGTTGTTGAGTTTGCCAAATCTTCATTACACGTGTTTTGATATCACCTTTATATAAACCGTCACGTGACATTTATCACTAGGTAGGTGTAGGTACCAAATAAAGATAATAATAAAGTGCATAAAACGAAACAAAATGAGCGTATTCAAACCGCCTGTAACCGCATAAAACCGGTTTGTGATAGTTTCAATTACTTTTTAACGAAAAATACTTAGGTACCTACATATTAAAACGACTTCGTGCCATAGAAAAATGTGCATAGGTATACCTTTTTTGTAAGGGGAAACCATCAAAAGACTTCTTCCACCCAGGGTCGGAGGGAGGAAATGTCACACTCTTACTGACTGAAAACTCACTCGTTCCTTCACCTGCTCTGGGCCGAGGCCACGGTGCCTCAATGCGCTTACCCCGCAGCCCCAGGCCCCAGCTGAAACGTATAGGACTCCATCTGTGGTGGTCTATTGGTTTACTCGCCGTAGTCGCCGTCCGCAGACCCGCGCTTACGGTGGCAGGAGATCATCTCTCGAATCTACCTGAATGTCTTAATACACGAACAGTCATCATGGACAA